GTGTTGTTTGCTCGAGGAAAAGACGAAACTCGTGGAATCCAGAGTATCGCCAGTGAGCTTTAGTCCGCAGTCGTTGTTTCATTTTTGTCTAACTTCAAAGGCTGAAAATCAATTGTAAACTATACGTTCGTCTGTTTCTCGAACGTAAACGATGCTGTTCGAAGACATCGTTAGCCCCTAATGAAACGCAGAGGAACCTGGTAATGAATTTATTAGCTCCTCTGCCAACAATCGCGTCTTTAAGACGACGTTCGTTAACTTTCTCCGTCCCGACGAAGGAAATAACGTTCGTCCTAGGGTCGAGTAATTATTTCCTCGTTTAAAGTCGTTTCTACGTGTTCTTATCCGTCTTTTAAATCGCACGTGCCCGGTTTCGCAACTCCGTGCAGGAGCTCCTTCGAGCTGACCTTTCCACTCGCGGATCTTTCTACCTTTCCGAGTCGAGAAGTGGGCCGAGCCATCCCCGTTCGTTGTCCCGTTTTCCCTATCCTTTTCCACTCGTGTTTATTTTCCTCGGTCAGGTAAATCGTCGTGTGTACACTCCTTGCGCACACATACGATTTTAAAGCGTTTTACCTTAGTCGGGTGAAATTTTTATTCGACGGTAGCGAACGATACCCAAGAACGTCATCGTTCAAGAGAGTCGTTCGACGACGAGTGAACATCGACCGTTCGAAATTATTCAAATCGCGTTATTCGTTCGCGGACATTTCCTTTTATGCCGGGCACGCGGGTCCCGGCATTCCGAATAAATAATGCACGACGACGCGTACGCGTAATGCGACTCAAAATATTGCTCGCGTTGCCACTTGCTACGAAACGGCCCGTTTAGCCCGGGACACTGATAAAATCTAGCTCCGAGGGATTGCGTTAATTCACGAGAATTAATTGGCTCGTTTTCCCCAAATATTTCACGCGAACGACTTCCGTAGAGACGGTCCGTCCTTCCCCATACGTGTTTTTTCCCCCCTACCCCCTCGTCCCCCGGGCTCAATTATTATTATTTGTTGCGTGCGAGGTACAATCGCCTGTCGCGTAGGTGACGGTATACAAATGGCTATCGTTTTTCATCGAATAATCCTCGCGTCGGGCGCTCCAGAAATGAAATTCTGTTTTCGTATTTTTGTTGATAAAAGTTGAACGCGATTACCGATCCATCGTCGCGGGTAAAGATGAAAGGAAAGAACGATTTGTACGTCAGAGGGACCCAAGGTTTGGGACATCCGCGAGTACGGATGGTTTCCCTTTGCTGTCATTTCTCGAACGGTGTTCTTCGTTACTGTTTTTACGCGCGAGTTCCAGTTAGAACGATTAACCGCGTTCGTTTATGCATCGGCGGGCAAAAAGTTTCCGGTGTACCAGCATGACCTGCGCAATTAATCCCATTTCCGACCCTAACTAGCAAATATTCCTTTGAGCCCTCCGTGAACACGCTCCGACCGACGATGTCTCGCTTGGGGTTAGCGGTTCGGTGAATTAGCGTTAATTAAACCATGAGTTTTTAGCCACTGTCTGGCACGAATGCACGATGACATCGTGCAATTTTCTGTACGAACTGGAACGACAAACCAGCGCCAGGAACACGGCAACATCGTGTTTTATCCCCATCGATGAATGTTTTGACAAAAACATCGAACGGAGCCGTAAGATTACGCGACGCGTAACGCTTCTATCCTCGTCCAAACAGCTATCCTGTTAATTTCTCGCGACAATATTGCGACATGTCGCAAAACCGAGTATGCGTTATAGAATTCGTTGACCTCCCGATAAACAAATTTCGCAATCAACTTTAACAGGCCTTCTATGCCACTTCACTGGATGTATCGGATAATTGGGGACCGCTCTAAAGTGCCTTCTTCACTTTGGATTAAGCATATTCACATAGATTCGCACGACCACGCGTGCACGCGATTCGAAAGAGAAGGGCAAGGAGACGGATTTATTCCGTTTCGCTCGTTCCCTGCTTTTTTTTCACCGACGACGACGAAAGTGACTGTATCTCCTTACGACCCTTCCGCCGGAAGTATCGAGTACGCGTATAAGCCGCGGATTATATCGGAGGGACGCATAAGCGATCAACGGGGGGAGGACCGTGAAATAATTCACGCTGCAAAAGCAAGGTTCCAAACCTCTTAAACTTAATTCGCGGCGTTCGAGAGATTCAACGGATCTAAACCGAAATTATCGACCGGGGCATGAATTATTCATAGCCCCGGACAGCACGAAACACTTATTACGCGCAATACTTGAGCAGCCTTTCAATGGGACCGGAATCGCGTAAAGCTCCTTTCGAACGGCGAGTTATTTCGATCATCCCAGCGATAAGCATAACGAAGCAGTTAAAGTGCACGTAACACGTGATTCCCCGTACTTCGTATAATTAAAGAACGTGGATATTATTTCAACGATCTACCACCATCTAACGTATTAAGAAATACTTTTTTATCGCGCCCCAAAATCACAGTTACCGAGACATTAAGAGAACTCGGGGTTCCGACCCTAGGCAGAGGGTAGAATATTATCCAGGCATCTGAGGAATTAAAGTGCTCCCCTTTCGGTTCAATAAGCACTTTACTTAGCGTGTACAGTATCCGAAACGTCTTAACGCGCCGCGGCAGATGTAATTTTGAACGTTCAACCCTGTGGTCTCGGTTCTCGAGAGGAAACGGGGTCACGTTCGTGTAAAGCCGACGCGTCTTTCTTAGCCGGAAAGCATTTTACGCGATTGAAACGCGGCCTACGAAACGGAGGAACCGCGCAACACAAACATCGTTCTGGAACGGTTGTAATCGCGGGAGGGAAATGTAGCCGTTTTTCCGGCGTGAGAAAAAAAGGGGGCGAAGGCGCGTCGCCATCGGCGGTTTGCACAATTTGTCTGCGGCAGCCGGATGGTACGCGAAAGAGAGGAAAACAAACGGCTCCGGAGAACGATATTCGCCCGTCTAAGCTTTGTAAGAACGAATTTCATTGTCTAGGATCGGCTACGCCCGACCCGGGAAGAAAAGGAGTCCAGAACAACAGGATAAGAGCGGTTGAACGGGGTGGCTCGTTGGAAAAGCGGCTCGTCCGTCGATCCTGAGCTCTTCCAGTTAGAATCCCACTGTCTCTCCTACGGTTCTTCTTTTCTCTCCGCTCCTACACAATTGCGATCATAAATATTTACGGTCGTTACGCTGCTGCGGTTGGGAAAACTGCCAATGGTCGGGAAAATTGTGGTGGAATCCGATAGGGCAGGGGTCGACAACCGACGGGGGTACTTTAACCGTTCGCTCGAGTCATAAACAATTACCGTCTTTTCGTACAAACTTTATTTCTCGTTTAAGAGAGTTACGAAACAATGAAGCTATAACAAATGCTCAAACGGGACTTCCATTGCGGTCCGAACGTTTCACTTGACCGTAGTTTTCTCGAGCACTGGTAACAGGACAATGGAATTAAAATTGTAGAGAATTTTTGTTGGACCTCCGACCGTCTTGGAGATATTATTTGAACGTCATTGCGAAATAGGGGTACATATAGAGGAGTCCACTGTATTTATATGTCGCCGAGGAGTAATGTGTTGAACAGGGCTGGAGAAACCGCGTGACCACAGCTATTATGATGTTCGTGGAAATTGTAAACCACCCTATCGACCGAATAAAAGTATAAAATTCTCGGGATGGGGGTCAAGCTGCCTCTGAAAACGAGAACGAAGAATATCGAAAGCATCGTCGGATAAAAACGTGAATTTCTTTTTTTTATCTCGGTACGCGTCATCGGTACGGGCAAAAAGTTTTCACTTTTTGGTGGAAAAAGTACGTTAAATAATTAAGAGCGTTTCTATCCGAGCCTCGGTAAAGCGATAACTCGGCTCAGCGGGACGAGAAAAATTAAAACGCAATTACGTGTAATTTTTATGTAAAAGTTCCGTTGCTAGTTTCGAACCACTTTCAAGTTGTTAATGACTTATTATTCGCATTGTTCCCTTTGGTTTAATTCGGAATATTCCGTACGCCGAGGACGATCGAATTCAGCGCTGAAGATTAAAATATCATTTGGCAATTAAAAACCACCGGTATTTTTCTCGATCTCTGTCAACGATCGAGACAATGCCTGTTGTCTTTCGAAGCGTGCATGCGTACGAGTGCAGACGGTGGTAGTTATTTGTTTACAATCGTCAATGGGGATACACGGTTTATCGCCTCTTTTTAAAACGTGCCGTCGATTCATATATTAGATTAACGATTTAATGGATAACTCGATGAATGACTCTATGTATGGAACGTGTCGGTGCGTAAATTGAACAAATTATAGAAGAATGCCTTTGGTGTTGGTAGATGGACACCCTATGCACACGTATACACAGTGCCGGCGATGCAATAGGGCGCGACGGTTCTCAATTGAACCAGCAGATCTTTCCTGCTTCAAATTTTCCATAAATGTTACCAAATAACTCCATCGGTTTCCAGATAAAGCTTCGAGAACAAATAACATTTATATAAACCGATTCTAAACTGATAACACCCGTTCAACCCCTCAGGTACGATGCAACTTCCAATCTCAAGCTTGTCACTTAAATTTTAATAATTTCTTAATTGATAGATAGTACTAACTTGTACGGGTTAATATTAATTTAGTTAGAAGAAGCTATAAAACTATTTGTGTCTCTGTATTAAAATAAACACTTGTGCTATAAAAATTTTGAATACTTTGATCACGATACCGTCGAAAATGGAGTTCTAGATCATTTTTGGAGACAATGTGGCGCTTAAGATACTTTGGTGGGTCGCGATATGAGCATCCCTGAATCGCACAATGGGCAACTGGTCATAATTACACGCAACGTGAAGTGTGTGTGAACAGACGCGTGTGTCACATTGTGTGCGAGTGTGCGCGCGTGCGTTAAGATCGCAGGAATACGATCACCATCTTAAGCCAAGATCAGTGTCTCGTGAAAAGTCGAAGAGTTCACGCGTGCATACGGTACGATTCCGAATCGTCGTTTATTTTTTTTTAATTAATTTTGTGGTTCAGAAGTGTGGAAACGTACATACATGTTTCTATAACATGGTGCCCTTTGGTTGGATGTTTTGCATTTTTATCGTAGGCAAGTGGAAACTATATATATCTATATTATTTTTTTTAATTTCGTTAATGGATACTGCCATTTGATTGGGATGAGCGTGGAGTTTTCATTCTCCGCGTCTTTCGAAAGATTTGTTTCGAGCAATTGCATATAGTAGGTGATCTTGTTTGTCAGTCCACTTATTTCAATTCACGGTAATGAATTCATGTTACATTTTCTGCTTTCGTACGTTTCAACGTAATTATTATTTTTTAACGTTTAGTAGGGGAACTCTCCTCATCAAGTGAAATATGTGTTTTTCATACACGAACCGGAAGAAGCACCCACTTTATTTGCTAATTGGAGAATATCTGACGCATGAAACCGTAAATTAATAAGTTCGGTGAAACTTTCATTGTAGGTACTTGGTCCGTTCGCTGAAATCGGGATTGTAATCATTTAATTATTTTTAAGAATGGAACGACAAATATAGCCGTGAATGGTAAATGGTTGGTTCGATGTTACCTCTGCAATTTTTGTTTTGAAAAAGCGTTTGAAAAGTATTATCCTCGATAGGTCGGAGTGCAATCGGGAAAAATCAGATCGCGATCCCCTTTTTTCGCTGTCGTTTCGCTCAAAACCAGTGACAGTCGGGATTGTGTATATGTATGTCCGCCTGATAAAACCTTTGATGCGTGTACCCTGTGTGACATGACTGCGCATGATGATCTTTCCGTGAAATTTCAACGCGTTCGATACACCTGCGTACAACGCGTACTAATTCTGTACACACGACCGTCCAAAATTTCGCGTAATAAAAACGAATTAACCGACTTATTCCGAATATTTATTGTACGTTGTTGTTGCAGGCAGTCGCGCGGCGGTAAACAATGGCTTCAAAAGTCATCCAACGACGGTGAAGACGTTCGAAAACGACACGGTTTTACTTCCGTGTTACGTCGAGGATGACGGTGAGTCGTCTTTACGGGACACCGTGTTATAAGAGGATCCACTGTACGTTAATCATGGGAACTGAGCGATCGTACAAACAATTTACCCGTACGATCGATCGCGTTGTCAGCGGTGATTTCGTTAACGGGATTAGGCGTCAGACATTTGCTTCGCCTTGTCGCAACTATGGCACAAGATCGAGCACGTTAAGACGATTAACGACTGTAAGATCGACGCGAATTAAGGACTTTATTCGGATTAAGTACTTGGCCCTTTAGTTCCCCGCCAAGAACGTCAAGTTTACTTGGCGAACTATGGCCTCGATACTCTATCTGGTCGGGATTAAGGTCAGATTAGATCGACGGGGGAAACGGTTAGCTTCGGTGTTCGCTAAATTGCAAGCTGATGCATTCGTGGCATGTTAATGGTGCCGTTTGTCTAAAGATATTTGGTGCAAGCCTATACCATCGACGAGCGTCGTTTGTAAATGCCTGATTAGACAGGCAATTTAATGTACAATGCTCTAGTGTATATCACACGTTTTTTCAGATAAGGTGCAAACCATGGTGAGGTGGTGGAGGGACGATATCCTTTTGGCCGACAGCAGTGAGCCGCGACATGTACCACCCGTAAGAGTTAGAATGTACTTAAACGGGAGCTTGGAGGTTTCCCATGTGAAACGGAACGATACCGGGGTATACGTGTGTCAGGCGTCTCGACCAACTCCCTGGAGATACGCCACTCAAGTACACGAGATAGAAGTGATGTGTAAGTACGGAGGAGCTACACTCCCCGACAAAAAGGTAGCTCAGGCGTGCTGTGATCGAGAAAACATAGCAATTCTTTAATGTATATAAAGACTATCAAGATAATGTTTTTGGCGCGTTTAACGCGGACGATCGTAACTATTTGATAATATTATCATTTTTTTGCGGCTAATTGCCACTGGACAACGAAGCACGTCAATTAATTAATCGATAGTTTAAAACGCGTGTATCGATTCTACCGCGTATCGTCGTCGCTGCGAAATTATGGACGATCCAAGGATACCTTTGAGTTTCGCGTCGGCCCGCGAACAGATTCAGGAAACTCTACTCCGCCACGAGATTCCCCGTGGAGTTTTCCCGACCGTAAGGATTTCGGTTCCATCTCGCCGTGCGTGAAAATAGGATAAGATTCAACGCGATCTAAACAAAATATTCAATAAAATGTAGCCCGAGTTCGATTCAGGAAAAGGATAAATGTAACAGCGTTTTAAAAGGTCAACGAAATCCGTAGTAAATGAGAAGGCGACTCTGTTCGACAAATCCTCCGTGGAATTGAATTTTGCGGTTATTTTTTCGTGCCCCGTGGGATTGGAAACGAGGTTTAGTTTCTCTTGAACAAGCACGCATTTTTACGAGATCGGATAAACGTCACGAACGTCCAATTTAAGTCCAGTCGATGCTATCAGACGTCGCGATTCTCGGTGACGTGTTCGCATCGTAGAAAGAGTCGGGAATAAATAAGAACGGGGTGGAAAAGTTTGTCGAACGGAAACGATGTTCGCAGATCCGCCCACTGTTCGTCCAGTGCCAGAATCCGGCAAGCTGGAAGTCAACCTAGGGGAGGAAGTGGACATGGCGTGTGTGGCGAAAGGTGTTCCGGTCCCTATCGTTTCCTGGAGAAATAAGGTAATTAGATTTTCCAGTCCACGGGAAACAGCGAATGGACACTCGTCGAATATCGAAAACGGTGAAAATGTTTATTCGTCGACAGGACGGGGAGATACCACTTTTGTACGACAGATCTCGTCTGCAATTTCACGCCGAAAGTCCCGGCGACGCCGGACGATACACTTGCGTCGCGAACAACGACGTCGGCGAACCCGCCAGCGCGACTATAGATCTGTTCATCAGATGTGAGTAAAATTCTATTCGTTGCGCGTAATTTTGTTAAGTCCGTTCCGAATTGCTGCGAGTTCTTCGCGGCGCGCCTACATTTGCATTAATAATTTACGTCACGTATGCACGTCGGTACGCGCGGAAGTAATCGCGTACGCCATCCTGCATACGCTCTTAAATGGTCCTAATTAAATTAGGAAATTGCCTAGCATTCCTCTCTTTAGTATTCCGATCGAACGTCCGTAAGATATAATTGCAGCCATGCGACGTACGAATACGTCGAACAGTTTGTTGACGGTAGTCGAAACGATTTGGCAATAACGAGCCTCGTGATATTAATAACCATCGCGACGGATCACGGAAGTGTTTCAACAACGCACGAACGATTGTCTTCTGTTTCGAAAATCTCGTTCCAAGAATGTAATATGTTACATTTGGTAAAGCGCGCTTTGTGTCGTCCGCGAAAGCACGCGCTCGTTTCATAAGTAATTCAGACGAGCTTTCTCTTTGAACGTTTCGGTTATTGCTACGTTTTGTTTCGAGGATATCAGGTCCCTGTCCGTTTTTAGTTCGAAAGCCACGCAAATATTAGGCCCGTTGCGGAATCAAACGCCCGCATTTCCCGATGAAAATTTAAACTTTCATCCCTGCAGAGTGTTAAATGCCATTTCTAATATCACGCGATCGATTTTATGTTTTTTTCCCCCCCCCCCCGGGAAACTACGCAGACAAGCCCAGAATCGAGATGTCGAAAACCTGGATGCACGCACCACCTGGGATTCGAGTGCAGTTGAATTGCGGGGTGACTGCGTGGCCAGAGGCAACGGTAAGCAATTTTACAAAGCGTGAGACAAAAATTCTGTGGGAACAGGTTTTCTGAAAATCGTTGGCGAAAGTCTACATTTCTGGTCAGACATTAGATTTTCGGTAATGAATTTTTTTCTCGAAAGTGCGTGGGATTTCGGGGGTATGTCTATTCACTAAAAATGGTTGTAATTGACCCCCACAATCGAGAATATTTTTTTTAGAACGATTTGTAATTTTTTTTTTCGCCGAAAAATTTAGGCACCTACCCCCTGTCGATTTTTCTTAAAATTCGTTTTTCATTTTTAATAAATTTGCTTGACGTCCTACCGGAAATTTTGTCTAATACTTTTTTACAGGTATCCATGAGTTCTACCTCAGAAAAAAATTTCATTGAAATATATTCAATATTCTGGGAGTTATGGTCGTTTGAAAATTAGACCATTTTTATGGGGTGTTTCTTACTTTACGGGGCCAAGGAACAACTTTTCGAATATTTTTAGAATCTCTACATATTCTTGACTAAAATACGCGTTGTTTGCCGTTTGAAACATTAAAATCCTCCAATCCGTTCAGGAGTTATGGCATTTTAAAGATTCGCGTGCAATTTCGGGGAAGTATTTCTGGCCACAAGCTATATTTTCGGTAAGGAATTTTTTTCTCGATACTGAGTAGGATTTCGAGGGTATGTATAATGACCAAAAATGATTATAATTGACCCCTGCAACAGAAAATAATTTTTCCAGAACGATTTGAAATTTTCCATTTTCGCCGAAAAATTTAGGCACCTACTGAATTTTTTTCTCGAAACTGAGTAGGAATTCGGGGGTATGTGTAATGACCAAAAATGATTGTAATTGACCCCTGTAACTAAAAATAATTTTTTCAGAACGATTTGAAATTTTCCACTTTCGCCGAAAAATTTAGTCACCTGCTGAATTTTTTTCTCGAAACTGAGTAGAATTTCGGGGGTATGTATAATGACCAAAAATGATTGTAATTTACCCCTGCAACTGAAAATAATTTTTCCAGAACGATTTGAAATTTTCCATTTTCGCCGAAAAATTTAGGCACCTACTGAATTTTTTTCTCAAAAGTGCGAAGGATTTCGGGTGTATGTCTACTGACCAAAAATGATTATAATTGACCCCTGCAATCGAAAATAATTTTTTCAGAACGATTTGAAATTTTTTTTTTTCGCCGAAAAATTTCTCCGCGATTTTTCTTTAAAATTATTTTATTTTCAATTCGAAGAAGACTGCTGACACCGGGGAAAGAGGTGATCGATTCGGCGTGATATACCGTCGAAGCAGAAACACGTGACAAATCGATTCGCGGGAAACGTGACACGCGACACTCCTCCGCGCGAAAAGTACCCGCTAGGGTTAAGCTCGTAAGCTGACAAAGCGTTTCTCCGGACTTCTCTTGATCGAGCAAAGTTCAGAGTATCGCTGCATTCTGACGCCAGGCACTTTCCTCGGTTGCGTCATCGCCTTCTCTCTTTAAATCTCTGTGTATTCAACAGAATGTGAATTAACAGGGAAGATCTTTTAGTCTCCGAAACTGATACGTTTATAACAGACATCGAGTCATGAGTACTATGCCCGTAGAAACCGAAATATATGATTGGTCTCGAGAACGTAACTTCTCAGTCCCCTCTGACTGTGGGAAACTCTATCCCCGTAGGTGGAGTGGTATTTCAATAACAAGAGCGTGAAGTATACGTCGGGAATAGTGAAGCACAACGCCGGGAGCGATCACAGTTTAGTGATAAGGAACGTCAGGACGACGGATTATGGTTTCTACCTCTGCAGGGCTTCTAATTCCTTGGGAATCACCGAGGCGGCGGTTGAATTATCGGGTGTTGCGAACCCCGCCACCATTAAAAAGACCTCGCACAGCCTCTCAAAGACCTCGTACAATTTCGTTTGGGAAGTCTACAGTTACAGTTCCATCGTCCAATACGAATTCCGATTTCGTAAATACAGGGTAAGGGTCCGATGATTCTTGGAACGTTGTATGCGCTTTATTCGCGTCGAACTCCATTTTTAGTCGAATGTCCTGTGTCCTCTGTTTAGAACGGTGTTCCTGGCGAATGGCATACGTTGTATATACCAAGCGGCCACGATGGCAATAGCTTCATTCACACGTATTCCTTTAATCTGACGGGATTGGAAGAAGCGACCCACTACGAGGCCATCGTTTTGTCGAAAAACCGTTACGGATGGAGCAAACCGTCGGAAATAATACGGTTCGCGACGGAAGGCGCTCGTAAGTAACGAAGACAAGTGACCTTTCTTTATTTTATACGCATTCGCGTTTTCCTCACCTGCGATAATTCGTTTTCAGCCGACAAAGATAACTATATGACGAACGCGATACAGGAAGATAAACTCGTACCAGGTAAACTATCATTCAATGTTAAAAATACGTTAGCGTGTTTGCATGGTTAAAATCATTTTCTTAACAGTGGTACTCGCATCGTTAGCAAAAGACTATTCGTTTGGGCCTGGCATAAGCGGATCGTCTGTCAGTCAAGGAGGGGTAATAGCATTGATACCTGTATTATATATTTGTAGCGTGAACAGTGAGGTTTTAAAAAACTTGTATAAAATATTATCGTCATTGCGTGTAACAAATTGAGCTCTTTGATGGAGTAGTCGGCTATACGATAACAGGAGAGGAAAGTAGCTCGTGTAGCATATCAAGGTAAAATTGTATAGCTCGAAGTTGGTACACTTTAAGATTGTAAATAAATTGGAACCTATGCATTTTTCACTAAACGAATACGTCCGGTGTATTTCGAGGCTACTCAAAATATATATATTTTTACATTAACGCTTCTCCCTGTTTCGTGAAAAATCATTTAAACGTTCCGGGCTTCGACGAAAGTCCTTCGCCACGAAATTACCAGGTTTCACCATTCCTGTACCACTCCTGAAATCTGATTTTGATTTTTTAAATTCTCCCAATATTTAGTTCCAATTCTAACCGCTGAGAGCGCTAAATTCGAATTCCGGTGTGGTGCCGGTAACGTTGGAAGTGATCCGGAAATGGTAAGGGAGCTCGCATACCCCTAATCCGTCCAGAAAAAAGTATTGCATGCAATGTCTGTTTCATGCCACGTCTGTGTTGTCATCCTCGAAATGTGTTTGACCGAATTACTGACACCTCAATTATCGTCAATTGACCAAATGCTGTTAGAATAGAAGATCCAACTACTGTAGGTCAGGTCAGGTTAAGTTAGGTTAGGTGCTCACAGGCTAGAACGTGGATGACAGTAAGTACAGTTTTGTTTTTATGAACAAATATCTACCTACTGTCATGACAATAATTCCAATATGCGTGAAACTCTTATCACCCATTCACTGTCATCCAAATATCGAATAAAAGCTTGATCGATCGTTGTATTATGATTCATTCCTTTCGTGATTGTTGTATGATCTCAACAAATTATGTTTTATTAAAAATTACGTCTTGATATTAATTGCACAAGGTTTATTCGATATTTGAAATAAAATAGTTTGCCAGTAAATGGCTCTTTTACCCTGTATCGTGAAAGAAAGAGAAGCTTCGCAATTTTGCCTCACGTGGTACGAATCTGTATTATCGGGTGTACTGTGTTATATACTTGCTATGGTGTAATTAGTCGTGTATGGTCGTGTAGCTTCCGTAATATTGCAAACAAAATGTCATTTATGTTTTCCAAAATTCTAAGAAGATTATTCGTAAATCTAAATGTTTCTAAGTGCAATAGTCACACTATGCATCAAATATCTGATGTTTCTTTCCACGAAGATGTTGGAAAACGTATAAAACTACAGGTTAGCCGTGCTCTATTATTTTTTGGTACATCGATAGTTAGCGTTGTCCGCTCATCTATTCTATTTTCTTAGTACGTTGGAATAAATTTAGAATTTTCTTTTCATCTATATTTTATCGATTGAAAACACATATATCGTCGTGTCCATGGTGTTAATTATTAAACAATCTATTAATACAGGGTTGGGTAAAGGCAGTTAGAAAGATGAAAAACAGTGTTTTCGTTGATCTCAACGACGGATCCTCGAAAATATTACAAATTGTTATACCAAAAGATAAGAAACCAGATAAATTGAGTTATGGAAGCAGCATCAAAGCAGAAGGAACATTAGTTCTTGCTGAAAATGGTAGTATTGAATTACATGCAAATGATGTTACAGTAATTGGTACATGCGACGTTATGGCTGGATACCCTTTTGCCCCGAGAAAAGTATATAGCGATGAATATGTTAGGAAATATTTGCACTTAAGACCAAGGACTAAAAGTTTCTCAAGCTTATTAAGATTGCGTAGTTCAGCATCTACAGCTATTGTAAATTATTTCCAATCTAGAAATTTTATTAATGTACATACTCCAATTTTAACCTCGAATGATTGCGAAGGCGCAGGTGAATTATTTCTAGTAAAACCACATTCTGCCAAACTATTGAAAAGGAAAGATGTTTCGGACGATGAATCATATTTTAATACCAGAACTTTCTTAACAGTTTCTGGACAATTACATTTAGAAACTGTTGCAAGGTGATTAAACTAAAAAATTAGTTGAACAAGGTTTAGCTTGTAGGGTATAAAGGTTTGAAAGTATCCACAAATTGTTAAATTTTTTCAGAGCTCTTTTAAAGGTATATAATTTTGGGCCAGCGTTTAGAGCTGAAAATTCTAAATCAAGATTGCATTTATCTGAATTTTACATGTTAGAAGCTGAAATGGCATTTATTGATAATATTGATGATATAATGGATGAAGTTGAACAGTTGATAACATATGTTACCAAAGATATGATTGAAAACTGTACTTCTGATATTCGTACAATTGGCGGCCACGAACCAAAGTGGTTGAATCAAAAGTTCATACGTATAACTTATGATGATGCAATTAAGATTTTAGAAAATAATGTTGAACAATTCGGTCAGCCTATTGCATATGGATGTCCATTGACAAAGGAACATGAATTATTTTTAGTAGAATATCACAATAATATTCCAACATTTGTCATAAATTGGCCAAAAGAAATCAAACCTTTTTATATGAAAGAATGTAACGATGATACTTCAAAGGTGAGATATTTCAAATAAGGAATATGATGCTTTTAAGTAACGGGCATTTTGGATGTATAGTTTACTTTCCTTTAAAGGTTGCTGCTATGGATCTCTTAGTACCTGAAGTAGGGGAGTTAGTAGGAGGGAGTATTCGTGAAGATGATTATGAAAAATTAAAATCAAAATTACCTTTAGCATCAAATCTTTCTTGGTATTTAGAACTTCGTCAATATGGCAATGTTACAACAGGTGGTTTTGGAATGGGGTTTGAAAGATTTTTACAAAGTCTATTGGGAATATCAAACATTAAGGATACTATTGCCTTTCCTAGATGGCCACATAATTGCAGTTTATGAATAAAGATTTCAGGATTGTTGTCTACTTGATTATTCCCAAACATAACAGCTATTGTCTACTATTAAAATACTAAATGAAAGCCATTTTATTTGGTAAAAGTAAAGTAAACACGAATAGATTAAAATAAGGCAAACACATTTTGTAGATAAATATATCTGATGTTTTAAGGACATGAAGGTAATATTAAATGAAAGCTCACTCTCAGATGTGTAAAGAAAGCACAATTTTATTAGGTGTATTTTAATATCTCAACTTTCAATATTACAAAGCTTTACTATACTAAGGACAAGGAGTAAACAGTAACTTTAATAATACTTTTTTTTTTTATTTTTTTCTAAAAATAAGTTTATTGAATACCGAGACAAATCTCAACTAAAGAGTAACTTTTTGTATCAATACTTTTTATTTGTTCAAATATTTGTATAGTTGAAAATTTAAACTTCTAAAGTTTTTTTTTAATAATGGTAATTATTATAAGGGATATTTTAGAAAGGTGAATTTAGGATCATAAATAAGCAACCAAAGGCAGTCAGACCCCGAATAATCAACAAGATTTTTTTTTTATACAACAAAATAATCCTCTAGTAGTAACTGTTTCTTTTCTTTTTTTTTCTTCCTTACCCAATATCGTCGCGATTATTTTAATGGTGGTATTATGTACATTATGATCAACAATTTTATATCACACAATTTGTACATCTAACTGAATTGGGTAATCTCTCGTTACTTCTTGCAGGACCACATTTTTTCGTGTTTTGTAAAATCAAAACAGAGCTGACACGTCTAGAAAACAATTGTATCGAGTACCATTCGAATATTTTTACAAAGTACAAACAGTATGAAATTCTTAATTAATCTTGTGCACATCAGTATTACATTTTTTTGACATTCTTCTGTCACAAAATGCGATTGCACTTTTTTTGTGTTGGGAATGCTACTACGCTATCTCACTCTAATTAAATCGTCTCGATTACATTAAATATTTACAGTTCTTCTTCTCTTTTTCCGCCTTAATTAAAATTAGAAAAAGCTAAACACACGCATACGCTTATCCTTTCGCACATTACAACGTAAACTTTTAACTTATACGGCGTGACGTCTAAAAGTGAATAGGATTGATTTTTCTCACCGTGTTGGCAGTCGGAAAAATAGACGAGTAAAAATGAGTGTACGAAATGCAAAAGAATATGTAAAATTCAAAAAAATTAATTATACGTAAAAAAAAAATAAAGAAAAGAAAGAAAAAAAAAATGAAAACAAATTCTGTAAGCACTTCGCATCAGGTCGTATAAGTTGCACAAAAATGTGATGTACAAATACATCGATACTTAGTCCTTTAAGTAGCGCTAAACACAAAATTACATTCAAACCACACAACTCTCATGCAGACTTATTTTGAATATATATTACAGGTACTATTTACATAATCGAGCAAAGACCTGATAATTCTTGCCCTCTCTCCACAGGGGGTAAATTAGACAATTTTCTACCTTGCAAAGCAGGTTTTATAGACGCAGCCACCAAAGGTTCTGCTATTTCTTCGGCGAGTGTCTCGGATACAGGTTTTTCCTTTGATTCTTCTGGTTCCTTATTTATACACAATGTTTTCGTAATATTAATCTTAATTCGGGACGGAGCTGTTGGAATCGCTGCAGGCGTGGAATCTAATTCTACATTTCCATCAATGGAACTTTTCACAGCAGCGTACGTCGTATCAGCCGTTGCAGGTTCGGTAATTACGCTCTCCTCGGGGTCTAATTGTAAAATTATTTTGCAAATTTAAAAAAAAATCAGTACACTACACGATAGATAGCGATAGGTTTAATATTAATTGCGCACAATACATACCTGGTTCCGGTTCTACAGGTTCTTCTTTAATTTCTACATTGGTAAAATCGAATTGTTCTTCTTCTAGTTGTTCTTCGGGCTCATCGATTGGCTCTTCTTTGATTTTAATATTTTCGAAAGATTTATCGACACTTTCTGTTTCGCACTCTTCTGTTTCAATTGTCGCGAGTGCAACTTCTGTTTCGAGATTATCAGTGTCGACAGTTTCCTCGCTGTTGGTTCCTAATTCTTGTTCTTTCTCTTTCTCGTTTTGTTCGATATCTGCATTATCATCTACAACCATAGCTTCGTCTGTATTTTCTATGTCAAAAACTGCTTCCTCCGCGTTATCTTTCATTATCTCATCGGGCGCTTCTATCGTCTCTATTTCAAGATTTAACGCCTCTACGCTTAATTCCTCAGTCTTATTTTCTTCTGCAGACATTTCATCGGTGATCTTCTTTTCATCCTCCATTTCCTCGATCGTTTCCTCGAGCGCTAACGCAGATTTTTCCAAAGCTCTCTAATGGCGTGAAAAAAGCAGAACGGTATTAGCAATTTCGATTTCGATATGCAACGGAAAGTCAAACTAAAAAGTGTTTGTTACTGATAACTATTAAAACGTGCAACAAAACGTTACGCAAACGAAAAATTCACCGTTACCTTAATTCTCTAAAATGTATAGATGTACACAAATAACTGATATTTTAGAGTCGTTTATATGACAATGCAATAGTATATTTGATATATGTGAAAGTAATGCAACATCTTCTAATTTGATCCGATGGATATAAATGATGTATAAAATGATATTTTTACCCATCATTACCTTTGTTTCTACTCGTCTACAAACTGCTAACAATTAACACATGACAAAAAGGAACCAAATGTAAAAAAAAACTAAAAATATATCGCAGCATTTACGTTACATTTTTCAGTGCCTAATTACTTCCACTATATCTATACGTGAAGAAACTTTCTGCAAGTGCAATATATGAATATTAATTATTTAAGAAGCACATACCACAAGACTCTTTTCCTATTATTTTTGCAAGAATGCAACAAATGGAAAATTCGTTAATAAATTTATAACCGGCTATATGGTAATTGAAAATACGATAGAAAATGTTAACGCAAAACCTAAGCACAGAATAAAACGCGGAGGCTAACCTTGTAGTCATCGAGACACAGCGGATGGTAATTCTTTTCCTCGAAATTAATCGCTGGTCTTAAATGCCACTCCTCTTTCTCTTCATTGTAAAATTGTTCAAATGCATCGTGGCACACTTGACATCTGGAATCTTCGTCAGATCCAGTAGGAACACTAGGTTGCAATGCTTCTTGAGGAGAATCCTCCGTAGCGACACCCTCCGTGTCCGCCGTTTGTTTCTCCGTTTCGAACCAACTTTGTGCTAAAGATTAAAGTGAGAAAAATACATTCGATACTTCTTCTATAGGCGACAATGGTAAAATATAAAAATACTCTACCTCTGTCTTCCAGATCTTCGATTTCTTCGAACTGTATCCAATCGCTAACGTCGTAATACCAAGGTCGAGAATGAGCTTTCCGTGCGGAATCTCTTTCTCGCCTGTTCTGTCTGAAATGCCAGTCCAAATGATGGCTGTACCGAGTTGCCAATTCGGGTGCAAATCTAGCACCACAGGAACTACACTGCATACCACTGTACAATGCTGCCGCGATAGCCGGTTGTTTGCTGCACAAAAAGAAAGCAGAAAGAGTAAAACTTGTGTCTTCCGATACAAAGAATTGTTTCATTAAACTTACACTTTGAGTGTCTCTGGTTTATCGAACGAAACGGGAATAATTTCTGGCTCTTTCTTTTCTTCTTCCTCGTGTTTCTTTTGTTCCGACAGATTCGGTACGATACCGGTTTCGACTAATCGCTGGAATAGCTCGTTCATATTCAGTGGTAAGGATAATGCTGGAGCAGCCGGTGGCGGATTTTCCGCCGGTTCGGCTTGATACGACAATCCGGACGCCGGCGCCATCGCGGATGGTAAAACCGAAGATAACATGTCTAATTGCAGATCTGTAACAAAGGGAATTTTCGCTACAAGACTAATGAAATATTCCATAGAAAAATGTACTATGCGTACGCACAAAAACATCAAGACACGCGGTATACAGAATCTAGTTTCACGAGCACAATATTTACCCGGTTTGGGAGTCGTTCTAAGATCAGAACCATCTTGCGACGTTGACTCCGACTCGACCGATGAGAATTGCGTTGGCGCAGAGGTTGTATCTACTTTCGGTTTCTGCGTTAAGAGAGGCGGTGTGGGTGGTGACTCGATCGGTTCCTCGCCTCTCATACCTGTAATCTTAACGTAACCCGGACGAACTCCTCTTGGCAATACCGAAAATCGTATAAAATGTTTCTTATCCCTAACAATAATAGGTTTTGGCAATCCTCCAAACTCGACTTTAAACGGACGTCCGTTCAATAGAACTGTTTGCAACGAGTCTATAAACTCAAGTGTATGTGGCTTTCCTTCGATTTCAAATCTGTAAAAATTCATTGATTTTAGTGTACTAAAAAATTACTTTATATCGCTGTTTTAAAGCTCACGAACATTCGAAAGCAACTTACATTTGCGGTTTCGCATCCAGAAAGACGGGGACCATATTTCGGGCGTTAATAATAAGATTAATTTTGGCAACTACCAAGTCTGTTCTCTTTACGGTACCGATCTTTACTTGAGGCGGTGGTCCTTCCAACTTGACGCTAACCTTTTTACCGCCAAGATCTATCGTTACGGGCATACCGCCGAAATAACATTCATACCACCGGTCGTCGACGTACAATTCTCTCGTGGGTGCTCCTAATTTAATTCTAGAAACAGTAAGAAAAGAGTCCGGTAACACTGTTCATTGATTTCACGAGTATAAAACATAAGTAGAATTCAATGTTACGATATTTGAATACGTACCTATGAACTTCACCTTCGTACATAAATTCTTTGTATTGATCGTTAAATGCACAAGTGATAGTGTCTTTGTCATCGATTAAAATTCGTCTTATACCGTTCTGGAATCCAATTTCTCTAGGATCGTCCCAGTTCATAAAAACTACACCAGTTTGTCCATAATATCTAATTTCACGCGGTATATTATCAATGTTTATAGATTTCATCGTATCCCTCGCGACTTCGTCCAACAATTTCGAGTCCGGAGGCGGTAATTCACGGCTATGAGGATTTTGATTTTTCATCATCGTCGTAGAGTAATTCTGATCGCCTTCTTCAAGATCGTATTTAGAGGATGAATTCGGCGATACGTTTCTCGTTGCGCTCAACGGAGGTATATTCGGATTTGACATAAGATTCGATATTGGTCCATTGTTCATCATCATTCCAGGTCCGTTCATTCCTGGTAACGATATAGCCGGTGGATTAGGCATACCCATTGGACCGATCGGGCCATTTGGTAAAAGGTTCGACATAAGTGGTCCATTGGGTCCCATAGGTCCCATTATCCCAGGTCCCAGACGAGGATTTGGACCAAGATTATGGTTGAAACCGCCATGGTATTGATAGTCGGGTCGTATGGGACCAAAGTGTCTCGGATTTTGCCATGGACCGACAGGCCTGAAATCGGAATTGAAGTGTCCTTGTGGGCCGTAAGGAGGTCCTGGTGGGTGAGCCCATGGTCCTGGCTGTTGCCACGGCTGACTTTGCCATCTTGGACCATTCGGATTTCTTGGAATAGGGTGATCTTTGTTTCTCATTACTTCTTTATCGCTCGAAGGGCTGAAGGTGGATGCACGGTCGCCTGCACCAGCCATATCCAGATTCACGCCTTTTTCCCAAACAATCGAACCTACTTCCTTCTCTTTCCGTTGCGCGGCTCTCAATTTGCGATCTTCGCTCATGTGTAAAACCTCCTGTATAAGAATATTGTATTGCGCTTTGGTGATCGAACCTTGGTTCAATTGCTCGGCGGCCTGTTTCATTATTATCTCAATATTTCTATCCTCGTTTCGTTCCGGCTTATCATTCTCTCTACCTCTTCGCCCTGGCCTATTGTCTTGATCCTCGTTCGATAGCGTCCTTCTTCTTTCTTTCGGATCATCCGGAAGTTTATTGTAAAGCCTGAGCCTGCCCAATCTGTCTCTGTTACGATCTCTACTGTCTCTTTTGTCGTCAGTGTTGTTAGCCTGTTTCTCTCTGTCATTCTTTGACGGTGTTTTCAATTTTGCCCAACCATCTTTACCATCTTCACCCGATATCACAGGTGGAGGTGGCGTGGGCGGTCGTCCAGCTTTAGGATGAGTCAATGTTCGTAGATCAACGTCTTCATTTCCGAATAATCTATAAATTCAAAAGAGACGATCAATTGATGTTTTCACGCGCACAATTTCATACAACTGGAACAAATATAAAAATTGTTACATGCGGTATCTTTGCGTTACAATGTTAGTTTAGTAAAAAAAGTAGAATGCAATTGAAACATTCGACAGTATCCGCCAAACCCAGTCTCGGTAGAAATTCACGCTAGTAGACTCGTAACGGGAAGTTCAAAAAAGAATTTCACGTTATAGAATAAAGATACATACGCGTCAAATTTCTCGGCCTTTGTTTTTTTGATCAAAGATGATTCCATGTGTTCCGAACTTTGTCTTTTGTTGGGATTAACTGGCGGTGGCAATACGCGCAAATCTAAGTCTTCTTCTGAAAAAGATGTGAAAATAAGATGAAATAACTCACGTATCCCGTATCGAGCATTACACGCATTATTTTCAGTTTTACCAGCACATAGGATCTTTGTATCCTCTTTGCATGCTAGGTTTTATATCTTGAAAAATGATAAATTTTTGCTTTGCCCGATATAGGAACAAAGACTACATGTTACTTATAAATAAAACATGTTTTTATATTTCACCCATTAAAATCTTGTAATTGCTATTAGGGCTGAGACCGTCCTGGTGTCGTATTTAGAATAAAGTACAGCATTAATGTAAGCAAAAATAGCTAGAATGGATCTCTGTGTACACTATTGATTACATATCGTATAAGTTGACTCACCATCAAGTAATGTAAAATGTTTCGGATACATTCTATCTGCAAGTGGCTTATATGATATGTATGTACATGTACAAGAAGTGTAAGTTATTAACTCACTCTTTTCCGGTACAGAAGCAGTTGCACCTGGAAGAGGTAGCGTTGCTCTCAAGTCTTCGTCTTTGCTGGATGATTCCAAAGTCGGCTCCGCAGAAGCTTGAGCGTTTCCAGTATTTACTGGAGACCGCTCGGGACTTAGACTGCCGTCCTTGTTTCGCCTTACATAATTTCTTTGTCTAGCATTCGGTCGAATTTCTTTAAATGTTGGTGGATGAGGAGGAGACACTATCAACGAACCAGACTGCTCCTCCTCAGTAACACCACCGGAACTACTTAGACTTGAATTGGACTTTGTATCGTTACGCCTGGGGATTCTATACGGAGGGCTTGGACTACGCTTTCTCGATTTCGTGTTCTTCTTTCGGTTCTTAGAGGTTTGAAAGGATTGGGGAGAGGTGCGCGAGGATGGCGAACTGTCTCCACTGTCTTTCTCACGAGATTTGGACCTAACTGGGCTTACGTCTCTGTCAACTTTCGGTATCTTATTCGGAGATGTCTGAGGTTGCTTAGAACGCGATTTGTTGCCTATCTTTCTATGCGAGGATTTCGAGGAAGTGGAAGATTTCTCGATCGTCGAAGATGAAAAACTCCGTGAATTCGAGCCCTTCGTGTCCTTCGACTTGGAATCGTTACTACCACCTCCTCTGTTGCTCGCGGATAACGTTAAAGAACTATTACTACCCACAGATAGACTTTGAGAACCTTTGGAACTATTACTGTTTAGGTTACCACTACTATTACTAGACAATCGAGGGTCTTTCTTTTGACTTGTTCGATGCGACACAGCATCTTTATTTGCGTTACCACTGAAATTTTTATTGTTATTATTATTGTTGAGGTTCGTATTAGCATTATTGTTATTACTAGCGTTTATCGTCGCAGTATCGGAGCCGGCAAGATTTGTCGGAGACTTGTTGATAGTGCTAGTTACAGCCTGTTTCGAAAGTAACTGCTGTTTTAATTGATCTGAAAGTACAGTGTTTGTATTTGCCGCTAGCTGCGTTTGGCCTTCACCCCGGGTATCCTTTTGACTTGATGTACTTATTCGTTGCCGAGGATCCACGCTTGGGACTGGTACATCTTGAGCCGAAGTAGTCTTTATTCTTGGATCGCGTGACACAGGTTTAGCCGATGCTACTGCTATACTACTAGCCGGTGCGATTCGTGGGCCATTGTTCGTTCCTGCATTTTTCAGAAGCGAAGCAGTTGCTGCTGGAAACTTGAAACAGAAACGAAATATTTGTAAATAGCGTACAACTAAACAGAAGACGATAATTGCAAGAAATAATAACTTAAATAACTACCTGTTTTGTTACTGGTTTTGACGCTTGACACGGCACGTTGAGTGCGACCGGTTTTCCTTGCGAAATAGTTTCCATGCCTGATGTAACGTGGGTTGTTGCTGCAACCTGCAAAATAAATACATATTATATATATAAATCTGTTACATTACAAGCAATATAATCGGAGAATCACGATTATCTTCGCTTACCAATTCTGCTTTCAAATTTCCAGCCTGTTTATCAAGTTGCCGTTGTTGCTGCTCCAAATTTGCCTTAGCCTGAAGTAGTTCTAGCTCGAGCTTTTTCTTCTGCAACTCTATCAACTCCCGTTGCTTTTTTAATACCTGTTCACGCATTGCTGCTTCTGTCGGTGTTACGGGATCACCTGGAGGCAACTTAACAGGCGCTACAATTGGTTGTGCTACTATCGATGTTGCAGATTGCTGGGGCTGGAAGTAATTTCGAAGAATTTTTATTTTAAAAATATCATTTGTAAATACGTAATCGATGTATGAAAATTGACAGGTCTTACCATCGAGAAAAATCGAGGGTTGACGTGGATAGATCCAGAAGAAACGCTAGTAGGAGAGGCAGTGATCGGCCAAGCAGGATCAATACTTTGCACCCGTACATCCAATGAAAATAACTTATTCGCAGGAAACACGTCGTTCCACGTTTGTCTCAGTTTCCACATACTGGCTCGCGTATTCTCATCCACCTGTTCGTTTACACAAACATTATAATTTTTGCATCTTCTACACATTTCCAATAGAAAACGTCTGTATATACAAAGTTGCGAGTACAATGACCCCGGTATTGACTAAATAATTATCTTATGGCCTTCCAGAGTTCAATAGTCTCGAGATGCAATATACTTGTATTTGTAAGATACAAATATAATCGATAATAATGTATATAGTGATATATAAACGTATGAATATATACATTCTCGGTCTAAAAAAAAAAATTAAAAACGTACCTTTTCAAACACTCCGCAAAAAGTGTTAACAATATTTTGTGTGAAGAGATTCAAGTATGCTCCATTCACATTCTTTACAATTGAGTCAATTAAATAAAGAACAGGTAATTTGATGTCGCTTCTCACCTATAAAAACGGAATATATTCGATTTATATTTTGATTCAAAATATCGATAAATTCAAATTTCTTTTCATACTATGTTACACAAGTACAAAATTTTTTTTAAAAGAAAAAGGAGGAAAAAAGATATGTGCATATAATAAAAGATTGTAGAATATAACAATGAAAAAGTAGCTTTTACTTAATATTCAATATTAAATTACAGTAACATTTCTCCAATATACACTTCTCTATTACTTAGGACAAAGTAAATATAAAAAGCTATTATACAATTTTATATAAATCTATATAAAATTTACATGCTGAGTAAATTATTAAAAATGTCTATATATACTTCCTGTAAGCAATATTTTGCATTACACAGTTTATTACAGTTCGTTCTATTGTGTTTATTTTTTATTTACTTCTATGTACGTGTGTTATACTTAAAAGCAAAGGGTTGAAATATAATTTTACTAATACTAGCAAACAAAGCACTTTGATAATAAACAATTTGAAACATCCACGTAAGAAAGAAAATGATTAAATTTGTAATATTGCCATCTATTACAAACAACAAATAATTAATGTTAAATGAGTATGCAACAACATAAGTATAATGATATATTTTGTAATGTACAAAACAATTTGTATTATTCTATGGTTACTACAATAGATAGATAACCTTTTGCAGATGATTCTCAACAGCTTGAACAATTGCTGATGCATGTTCAATGTTGTCCTCTGCCAACATGGTGAGCATATTAATCAAAGGTTTGCTATTGATGGTCAGATCCGACAGTGATGAGATATACTCATCTGCTATCTCCTTAGACTTTGTTGACATCATGGTGTTGTGTTGCCAATTGATATGTGCAACAAATCTTCGTCAACTTGACAGTTGTAATTACACTGTGACACACAGAAAACAGATGTTAAATAAACAAATATAAATTTTATTGTAGGAAGGCAAGAAAATTAACACATATCGATGACTGATCTTTTATTAAAATAACATATCAGCTTGGACAACAAGAATTTATTAATCCGTTTCATGGAAGCAATTTAAATAATTTCTATTACTTAACATAGTTGAGAGATTGGTTACAAGATTGTTCTTAAAGGAAAAATTCATAGAATTTAAGTTTAATTAAAAAATATTAAATTATGAATACTACCAAGAGTACAATGCATTTGACAATTCAGATAGTTAAATACACATGTTCTACAAAATTGGATAGCATTAACAAATTATTAATATTGTAACTTAACAAATAGCAGAATAAACATTGTTGCTCATGTTGCGTATTAATTGCATCATAACAAGATTCATGGACTTTGGTGAAAAATGGGACGAGTTTAGAATGAAACGAGAAAGTGGTACAAGATTTGTATGGTGTACTAATTCTTAAATTTCTATGGTTAGGCTATTCCACTTTTACCGGATTCTAATATGTAGGGCAGAAATGATTAAACACGTTCACGGTTTATCGAGATTTAGTTTACACCGAAAGGAATCGGCAAGATCATTGACCTTACAGGACCCAAGTTGATAAGAAGAAATTAGTAAGTTAACTGTTTCTATTTATGTAATATTATCTGGAACCTTTTTACAAAAGGTTGATAGATCGCGGGGCACATATTGATTTTTTTTCTGCTCGATAGTTTCACGCATTTTAAACGAATTTTTATTACACCGTAATCGTGATATCCACCGCACGTTTCGAAATTCAGCTCAAATACTTAAGTGTACACGAATAGCCAACACGCATCTGGATTTTCTCAACGCCCGTCGGACAAACTTAAACGACATTCGGTATTATATATTCGCGCCCTACCAACGTGTATTGCCGAGTACCCGATATGCAACACTAATAAACATTTACCTTTTCTAACGCATTTCGAAAAACAGAAATATCCCGAACCACGATTATTTTGACTTTTTGCGATAATCACGCTGATACTACTGCTTACGCCGAACGGGATATCCACGTAAAATGGCTACCATTCCTTTGTACCTTCTAACGGGATTACAACTATATAACGCTACTCTCGATTGGTCAGATTTCTTACTCTGTCGGTTGAATTTTAGTAACGCACCAATGGTAAGTTCTTTTGTAAAGTGCAGTATAACAGTTTGCTCAGTAGTAGCTGAATTCCACATATATCCGCGTGTGTCGCTAGTGGGCAAAATAGAAGAATACGGTCCAGTTCTCATCGTCGCGATTCATTCAAGTGCAATTTTAATCAAACGATAAAATAACATGACAAAATTCAAACTATCATTGAAACTTAAAATCAAATTCTATTGTCAAGTTTCTTAGTCGTCGAAACGTTTCCTTAGATTCACGAATTTCCTTTTTAATCCTTACGTTAGTATATTGTCTCTTCTTTTCACTTGGGATCCTATCGTCAAACTTCTTCTCCGTCAATTAAACATAATTTAATCTTTAATAATTTGAACGAGGGAAGCTTTACCCAAAATTCTGTGCAGAACATTCGCCGAAAAAATGAATAACTTAAATTTGCAAGTAATACTAACACGGTGTAACGTACTACGCTAATTACATCAGAGATATATTGGAAACTTCCCAATTAGCTTTCAGAGTTATTTATTTGGCCGTTATAAATCTTCCAACGGACAAGAATTTGAATTCAAACCGTTTGTTACCGTTTCTAACACGCTTACCAACGTCCAGAACCATAATATTGGGAAATACGTAGATGGAAATATCTTTTGAACTTAACGCGTGAACGATTATTTGAATACCGTTCGTAAGTTGATATTACAGACAGTATGGGATGATGTGTCGGAATTTCTAAACGGAAGAGGATTCACGATCATCGAACAATTTCCAAATTAATCTATTCGCGCGTGATCTCGCGAATTTTTTTATGATTTCTAAATCGCGATAACGTCATGATTAAATGGCGGGGACAGGTGAAAACGTCATTTTGACAGAATGGCAGAAGGTCTGGAAAGGCGTACGCGATTTGTGTTGAGTGTTCGTTCATTTTTACTCTGTGAATATGGACCCGCGTGTGTTCAGTAAATTACAAGAGAACTACGATCGAGGAATAATGCCGTGAAATTGTTCTTGCGTACGATCGTAAAGAAAAGCGTGTCTCGTTGAAAGAAGCGTATTACGAGATTTCGTATTGCCGTCGAAGCGAACGATCGAGAAAATTACACGGGTTTTGCTCGTAAATGTATCGTTAGTTTTATGCAAGGATTTCTGACCGTAACGCGGTACAGATGTGATGGAGGATTATAAATTTCTCTTCAAAGTTGTGCTCGTAGGAAATGCGGGCGTCGGCAAGACTTGCCTCGTGCGCAGATTTACCCAGGTATGTACATTGTTGATCGCTTCCACATTATTTACTATTAATAACGTGTCGAAGATTTGTCGAGCGATAAATAAATTTTATCATCTTATGTACGATTTTCTGTGCAAGCAACACCATCTGTTTTTGTAGCACTTGAATTGCACAGCCTAAATTGTACATTTAAGAAATTTTCTCTACTCGTATTATACATTCTTAATTATTAATATACTCGTTCATTTTGTAGGGATTATTTCCTCCTGGTCAAGGTGCAACAATAGGTGTTGATTTTATGATTAAGACCGTAGAAGTAGAAAATGAGAAAGTTAAGGTATGCGCATGATGTAATGCATTATGATTCATCTAACATATCTGTATATACTTTTTTAGAATAATTCTATGCCGCGTGTAATTGATACCGACTTTCTTTTAGCTACAAATCTGGGACACTGCTGGACAAGAAAGGTTTCGTTCTATAACTCAGAGTTATTACAGATCCGCTCATGCTCTGATTTTAGTCTATGATATTTCTTGTCAACCTACGTTCGATTGTCTACCAGATTGGTTACGTGAAATTGAAGAATATGCGAGTAATAAAGTTCTTAGGATATTAGTGGGTAAGTATTTTATCGTATCGCAACTATTTAATATGTATTAATTGCGTACGATTAATCGATAGGTAATAAAATTGATCGCGAGGACAGAGAAATACCAACGCATGTTGGAGAAGATTTTGCACTGAGACACGGAATGTACTTTTTAGAAACGTCCGCTAAAGAAGCGGAAAATGTAGAACGGTTGTTCATGGAGATAGCGGCTGAACTCATGGAGGTAATCGGGCAATACATTGTTTATTAGGGAATTTTTATTTAAGAATTTTATTGTAGATAAGTGAATATATTATTTTAGCAAGCACGCAGTAAAGAACTACCTAGATATGAAACAAATACAACTTCAATAAATGGAAAAACAACATCAATCGGTGATACAAGCAACTGTGGTTGTAGTCGACTTTCTTAAGTAGCTTTTCTATGTAACATTAATTCACCCATAACACACATAATTTTAGTTGCTAAATATGTACGTAGAACATTATCGAACAGTTTTTATAGAGGATGAAGATTGAACATGATACTAGTCAATCTTCCATAACTAAAAAAATGAAGATTCTAATATTAGCACATCTTTGATATTATATGTTAGTATCTAGTGTTATATCATACAGATTATATCGACAGTTTTGTTGCAAAAAAGTATTCAATACTTAAAATTAAAATGAATTTTAAGTATGTTGATAAATATTTGTTCATAAAGTAGCATGTTTTCATAAAGATCGACTAAAGGAATCTTTTCGTTACGGTTTTACATGATTGCACTATATGAATAATAAATAAGTTAGGGGGCCTGTGTTTAGGCATTTAATAATGTTTCCATGAACGGAATTATGCTATATTTTTTATAGTATTTTTTGTTGTGTCGGAAAGTACAAATAGATATTTCATATTTGATGACTGAATTCGGGGTCATCGCAGTGAATATAAGGTTTTTACTCAAAATTGTAAGCCTAATATTATCCAGGATTTTTTCAAACGTGCAATATACATATATTATAAGTGTTTATTACACCGCTGTAAAGATCTACTGATGCTTGATATTAAAAAGCAAACAATTCTATACGTTTTTAACACATAATAATTTACCAAAACTATTATTAACAATTGTTTACATCGATTATTATTGCTACTTATGATAAGTGCACACGATTAACAGATTCTCTTAGCAGCATTTACACAGCCAAAGTTTTGTTGTATTTGTTTAAGATTTTATTTATGGTTTTTAAACCAGCGGATAATTATTGCTTGTTCCATCTGTGTACTGTCTGATGTTATTATTTATAGATCTTTTATTATTATTTATATTTTATAAGATAAGTCTACTATTGCTCGTACTGTTGTAACAATTAACACAATTTTATTAACACATTACTCTAGTCCTTACACTTTTTAATGTTTCGAATATAAAACATTTATAAATAAGTTGATATAGTTTTGTATTTTCAATAACTGCTTTTTTTATCAGGTAATTATGAGCACATTATGCATTTATTTTTTATACCAATTTTCCTTTTTTTTACAATTTATTCGGGATAAAACAAATCTAAAATTTGTAAAATAACGTGGATATTCTTCTCAACAATATTGTTTATAATTGCAAATAATATTATAGATATATATATTTATATCTGTAGTTCAAACAGTTTGTAACAATATTAAACTCTAATTATAGCATGGGAAATGATAGTACGTTTTGCACAATTTTGTGTTAATTATTATGATTCTTATATAATTAAGTTTCAACAAAATAATTGAAACTTTAAATTACTGTCGTCGTGTAATAACAGTTCATTGTTAACAATTTTATTCTGTAAGTTTTAAAAAATACGAAACATGAACAAAAATTTTGTAATAAAACTATACTGATAAAAACATATCAGTTCGTGTATGGACAAAAAAAAAAAAAACAACTGTAAAATGATACATCTTTAACTTCCGTGTCAACATAAAATTTATCGTAACAAATGTATCTTATAGACGGTATTGAATATATATATATTATTTAATTCAACTTTCTAAAAAAAAGGAAAAAACATAGTACATAATTTGAGTAAAAAAAAAGAATTCTATTAATCAAATTCCAAGGTTTGAATAGATGCTATGCTAAATAATAAATGGTGTTGTATTAGTTGAAAACACTTGTTGCAATTATCCGAAATTATGGTGTGCGAAAAAAAGTTTTACGAGTTGTCTGCATTTTAATTAACTTATTTGATGTGTTCATTGTACACCTAATACATTAGGCTCGGAAAGTTCGTTTTTAAATTTGTACACTTCGCGTTGCTATGGAACCGGTTGCTATGGCGATAAACAAATATTCCGGAGTGTGTTGCTTGGCTAACAGAATTTCACGGGCTTTGTTAAGTACGTGTGTTTCAATTGGATGGAAAAATGGTGGATCAAAAAATTTACTATCTTCGCGTAATGTTCGTGCGACAAAAGTTATTGGACTTCGACTGGGATGTATTGTTTCAACCATCGTATTCTCTCGATCTTGCAAGGGCTTACAAATCAGCTGGATTCATTTTTCCGAAGTAAAGAACCTTCTTAAAGGTATCGTGCAGTTACTCGAAATAAGGGCCCAAGGTCATAGAACAAAACGGTGCATTATATGACTCGATAAAGGTGAACGTTTAAACAAAATATTGTATTTCGAATTCATATATAAACTTTCCGAACAACCTAATATATTATGTGAACTAGCGTATTAGTAATGAACGTAAAAATGAAACGGTTTCAAGAGGTACAATGTTATACACTTTTTACATTGACAAGATTTTTAATACTCTTGTATCATATAAGTTTATTGTAAATTGTTATCAATTTGCTTAGTAATATTCGATACAAATAAATAAATTACAAAATAGTATTATACACACATTTGTTTATAAAATTGTTTCATTTTGAAAGTACGTAATTAAATTAATGTACAAATTTATTTAGTTTCTGATTTGTAATAAATAGTATTTCTCTTAAATACAAAATGTCCAACGTTGATAGTTCATAGCATCGTTATGCGTACTGGAAAATGTCTTTTAGCTGCACTTGTTTGAGAGATAGTTCCAGCAATTGTTTTTGAATAGATGAATTCAAAGCATCCGGGTGACCAGGACTAGAACGACAGTTACTGATGTATATACCGCCGCATTTTTCAATCGCTTTGTTCACAGCCGCATACACAATAGAAGTAGCTCCCCTTCTGGGATTCTAAACATAAATATTCGTTTATTATCGCCGAATGTTTTTAAATATGCGTAACGAACGTATCTTGTTCTCTACTTACTTTCAAAATGCGTTTGAAAAGAAATTGAAACCTCCAAATATAAGTATTTTCAAAAAGATCTGTAAATACTATGCCTGGATGTACAGAGTAAACTTGTACATTATACTGTTTCTCTTTGAAAAGATTTTGCAACGTTTTTGTGGATATTTCTTGCGCTAATTTACTTTGTCCATACGCTTCTTCCGTAATGAATTTATTTCTGTTCAAAGAGTTAAAGCTTTTCATTAGTGAATACATTAATTACATAGTCATTTTAGATGAAACGGTAATACAGACTTGTTGTTAATGTCGCTGAAATTAATTTTACCCAAAAGTTGGGCACATGAGCTAACATTAACGATTCTACTGGTTTTTTCTGGGAGACCGCCTGCTTTCAGCAATGGTAATAGAAGGGCTGACAATAAAAAATGTGATAAATAATTAACGGCCCACTGTTGTTCAAAACCATCTATTGTCTCCTGATATGGACAAAACATAACACCAGCTATAAATATCAAAATAATGTTACCTTTACTATCATAATTCTGTACACAACACCTGTTTCTATTTATGGGGAAAAAAGTGTAAACTCTGAATTGTGTCTTACCATTATTGATTAAAATATGAATTTGTTTATAATCTTTTTTTATCTCTGCAGCAAATTCTTTCACAGATTCCAAAGAAGAATTATCAAGTTTGTACACTTTTGCTTGACCGGTTGTAACACCAGATTCTCTGATTTTCAGAATGGTTTGTTCACCAGCAACAGGTGTTCTGCAAGCTGGAAAATATGTTTAAAAATTATTAAACATGCGTGTAATATTACCTATACCAGTTTTTACAAACTATATATGTAAATAAATATATATACACTTTGATAGCTAGATTAGAATACAAGTTTGGACTTAAGACTGTTTTTCTCTATTTTGATTTTCTTATATCTAAATAAATGGACTAATATTAATTATTCTATTTATTTGTTGATATCAACAGATCATGGAAAAAATAGAATAGTTTCAAGAATTTCAATATTTTACAAACATACCAATTATTACTTCCATATCAAGTTGTAATAGCATTTTAACTACATCAACACCAATCCCTCTAGAACCTCCTGTGACAATTGCAATTCTGCCTGGTTGAGGTGGAGAATCTTAAAAAGAAAAAGTAACATTTATTTTATTTTATTTTAAGTCTTCTATTTTTTGTCATGAATGTCATATTTTTATTTTTTATTTCAGGAACATAATAATCAAAATTATACATTTACTTGCATATAAAGTGCATTCATTAAATAATTTGCAATTACAATGAAAAATGGCAATGAGAACTGATGTAATAGATTTAAATTGTAAATTATTTTAGAAATATAATTTATACGCATGTAAATAACTATTATCGTCTATTAAATACATATTTAATAATGTATATAATTATAAAAAGTAAAAATATATAGTGTATTATTATTATTATTAATAATATCGAAGGAACGTATATTGACGGAACGTTTCTCAATTTCGAACTAATACAGAGCGAATGCAGCATTTTAAATATCGTTTTAAATATTAAACAACGTCCTTTAAATTATGAAAATGAGTGAAAACAAAAATCGTGAAAATTACTTACCATTTTTGTTATATATTGCATTCATAACATCATTGACTACTTCTTTAAAGCCCAGTATAAAGTATTTCACTTTAATGATGAGACGTCTGATCGCAATGGACCAATTGTCGCGATGTTTAAGATACATGAAAATGCTTGTAATTATAGCGCAAATCGAACCGATGAATAGCATGTTTCTGAAATTAATCTTCCGCAATTTTGAAAAGTGTTAATTGATGCAATTCGCAGGACAGACTAATCGTCATGCTAATGTTACGTTTGCTAGTAAAGAACTGAATTAAGCGGACACGTCGAGAACTCTTTACCCCCAGACAGTCTTGAGCTACTTTTCCATTCGTCTCGAACGGAAGATTTCTACCGTTATACCAAAAGAATCACGCCTGTATTCGACAAGGTGTATTTTCCACCTATTTTCCTTCCTACCGTGTCCGCACTAATCGTGAACAATCTTTATCTTGTTACCGAAACGATAATACAAATAAGGTATTATGTACTTTTATCCGGATAACATATGATTTAACTTTGATCGCGTAATTACTATTTTTAAACATACCATTCGCTACACTAAAGATACCATATTATTAAGTACTTATTACTTTTCATATCGATCCACGTACATAGGGCTTTTATAGCAACAGTACATGCGTAAACTGTAATATGTAATACTTTTCGATTTGAGGTCAGATTTACGTTGTTATGTTATGTAAACTAATTTTAACAATACTAATATCAGTTTTATTAACGTTATAAACATATTGTATTCTCGGATAAACTTTCTTCAAGCAAAATATTTTTGCCAAACGAGTGGAAGGGTCTTTAAGAAATGATTATAAATTTGTGTATATGTATATTTCGACAATATTTACATTGAAAGTAATATGTTACATCGAATATGCCACTGATGTAAACGTATTTTAATGATGCATTAATAAAACACGGCACTTTATGTAACGACAAAAAGTTTGGCTGGGAGCACAGAGCACGGCAAAACAAAAAAAGTATAGGAAAATTACGTTTTATCTGATGTTCGATGTATAGTTGGTCTCGTCAGTTATGTGACCAGATTTACGAAATTCCGGCGAGGAACGGCTCTTTATTTTTACCGAATATAGAGAGAGGGATAGTGCTGTAAACTATTTATTTCCTGCTATACCCCTTGAGCGGAATTACACCACTAAAGGGCTTTGACCCACGATAGCTTATTTTCTAAAAGTTCGTACGTAGAGATGTATTTGTTAATACAATTCCGTCTAAATAATTGTATGGATTTCGAAGTGAAACTTTCCGTAGTCTGTGTGCATCTAACCTAATTTTCTATTCGTATATTATATGTGCAAGGTTATAGTATTGCAGTATGTAATACCTACGATTACAACACAAACGTATCGTCGAACTTCAGTAACGCGTAACTTCATTTCAGGTTAAGAAAACAGTACCAAATTGGGTTTTCCAATTTGGTATTGCTCTCATTAATTGGGGTGCCACTAATTCGGTCAAACGCGTTTTAAGGGTGACGGTATAATAGCTTTGAAATTATTGAATTTCTAAATAAAAACAGAGGTTTCGAGAGTGACAATAATTTTTGTTTTAATTTAAAGGTACCGAATAATAAGAAATGAAATGAAAAACCTATATTTTTGATAAATAAATAACAAAATAACGCAACGTTACTGATGTTGATTGTACGAGCAAGCATAACGGGTTACATACAATCTGGGATTTTGTTAGTTCATAAATGATCATCAGATGGCTACAGAAAACAGAATATCAATGTGGTATATTAGATTAGGAGCCACATACTGTTCCATATGTATCTAGAATTAATATTCATTGCCATTAGCAAGCACGATGTATTCACAAAATACGTGTATCTTATTCCATGTTTGCTCAATTTGTATTACAACTCGATGTTTCTTATTTGCATAGATTTTATAGTTGTAAAAACCAATGACATCATAATACAAAGTAAGAAATGTTCCTTGCAATGTAGAAAATCTGATATCGATGCACTGGTATGGAAAGCTCAAACGAGAAACAACTGTATTAAGAATATTTCATAAATCAAATGAAAATAATGACCAATCAATTATTCATTTATGCATGTACTCTTTAGAAGTACTTAATGTCAATTGTAAATTGCATATTTGATTGAATTTAATACATCGTAAATATCTTGATGAAATGATCTTTACAATCTAGACATGTAATGTTTTCTGAGAATAATTATACATTCAAATGGATAAAGCCTCTGGCTCTATTGTTTTTTAAAATATCTGCCATTGTTCTGTTGTGCATAAAAATTCAACTTTCAGTATCACGAATAGCAATAGAGTTTCGCCTTTATCCAACTATTCTACGATGTTACTTTCAGTTGAACGATTAAGGTGCATTTTCATGTGGCGGTAAACTTGTAGCCCCCTCTTGGCGAACTTCAGGCGATATCGCCACGGCGAAGGAAATCATTCGCACCATCTATCAGAGAAATTAGAAATCTTAAAAACGAAACTCAGTGTAATTATTAAGGCATATGTACACTAGTATATTGTGATATATGCGTAGTAGAGTACATGCGTATGTGGGTAGTGAATTGCGTATAGATGCGCTCTAGCTGATTGAAATTCGTAAAAGTTTAAAACTATAAATTTTTACTAAGTAAACGAACATTTGATTTACCTCTGTACGAAGTAAGTTCATTTTACATTACTACCATTGATTCTACCTGACTTACAAATACGATTGTTAAAAGTTTCAAATCGATGGATTCGGTTAATTACACTTTTAAAAAAAATTTGAAGCTCTGATCGCATTTAACGTCTAACGTTGTTGAAAATTTTTATTAATATGAGATCGTTCTAACGTCGTAATTAAATTAGTCTATGTAAACTTTAGGATGTTATACTTTTAATGTCTTGTCTGAATTAGCTGCTTTCACTTTAGAAAACAGGACGCGATTTGCATAACTATCGTATCTGTAAAAGATTCTTTTCGAATATATTTTTGTTTAGGTTAAATACATACACATTGTGTACACGTTTTATAGATGTTTTTAAATTTGAAAATGTAATTCTTCGTTATTTTACATGAGTTTTTCTTGTCAATAAATAGCATGGCAGATACTGCAAGTACAGGCACAGGTACGGGTACAGGTACAGGTGATAGTTCTCCACAAATAGAAAAAGGTTGGCTGGCTTTGAAGCTACACATTATTGACAATAAGATTAAAGTTGCGTTATGGATTACAAGACTTTTTACTATTATATTTACTATTGGTTACATCATTCCTATATTTGGGTATGTTATTATATATATAAAAAAACAAGTCCTGCAGATACTAATTTTGTATTTCTTTTTTTAGCAATCCATATAACATTTATTACAAAGCCTTAATGAGTAGTGCGGCGACAAGTGCATTGCGGCTTCACCAAAGAGTGCCACGTGTTCAAGTTAATAGACAATTTTTAGAAAGTTTATTTTTTGAAGATTCCTTTCATTATTTATTTTATTCCTTGATATTCTTGTATGCAGCTCCTGTTACATGTATCCTTTTTATTTGATACTACATAGCAAATTGAAATAATTTATCTCTGACAGACGTGTTGTATGGGAATAATTGAAAATTCTTATTCCTTAACTAATTGATTAGTGGTGTTAACTCCCATATGTTTATTTGCACTGATACATTTTACAGATTATTCGCAGACGTTGCTTAACGTAAGTAAAAAAGTTTAACATTATATAATTTAATGCTATAACATTAAAGTAGCATTGTAAGATATGTATAGTCATTGTTATGATTACTGATGTTTTCTCTTCTTCTAATTAAGTGTATAGGACAGTATAATTGGTGGGCAGCGCGGTTCGTCATATTTTTACTCGATTTCCAGTCGCATAACATTTTGCGTCTGTGTGCATTATCGGAAATAATTATATTGCCATTTACAGTTCTCCTAGTATTTACGTAAGTACCAACATGTGTTTATTTTTTAAAGAAAAATATTTTGAATGCATTTTACAATGTTAACTTTTTACAGAGGCCGTGCTGGTTTACTGACACCTATTATCTACTATCAGTTCTTAAAGTCGCGTCTCGAATCGCAAAGAAATCCATATACCCGTAAAGTATTTCACGAACTTAGAAATAAGCTGAGTTCATTCTCAAGAAGACAATCTTTGCCAGAAATAGTGCGGCGGATGATCCAGGGTCTACTTTTACTCACACAACAGATGGTTCCAGTTCATCAGTAATTTTTAATTTTCAATAAAACAGTTTTGAAGTTAGATATCATGGGGTTTTAGGGTTCATGAAATAATTATTTCATACAGTATAATTGAATGATAAAACAAGTGCAAATATCAAAAGCAACAAGCCTATGAATTATCATTTGAAGTGTATGAAAAACAATCAAAGTATAACATTTTGAAATTACGATTAATGTCTACTTATTTCTAAATGTTATAATAGCGATATCTTTACAAACATTTCATACAAATAATTACTAGATCGGATTTAGAATTTATTTACCAAAACTCAAAAATAGTTGTACGATCAGATCGTGTAATCGAATTTTTAATATTTTATAATGCATACTATCGATAACGCAACAAGAGTTTAATTACATAATTCTAAATTTCCACGAATGAGCGCATAACAATCTCACTATAGCGAATATCATTAGTCTGTTCTACTATTTTGCATGTATATGTTTTTAATTATTGTAACATTCCTGCACACTTATAAACAAGTGATTGTCTCCAAGGTAAACTCGCATTATATATTGTTTAATGTATATTGTTCCACATTATTCTGTTTTCGATACATTTAAAAAACATTTGATTTAGGTATATTCACTTCACTTCTCCCAAGAAATATTCAAAGCGCGCTAAGTATAGTTAATATATAATATTAGACATCTTTTTATTTGTTGTAGATATGGGTCATTTTGTGAATTTCATAATAAAACAGTATTTAGTTAATAATTTTTGGCTCACTTTGCAATATCAATATTAATTGTTGTTACAAGCTGTTTTAGGCTGATTGTTCTATTGCCATTGAATTTTATTTAAAAGATGGTACGAAATAATTAGTACGATTAAGCGTGATCTGTGAAATTTTCATAAATAAAAAACAGTAATAAATATTTTGTCTTATACTATTATTATACACTGTTTTTATTGTATTTAAATTTTTTCTTTTACACGCGTATTTAAAATCAATGTAACGATCGAGAATCGATATATCGAAACTACGGAAGGGAAAGCTGACGGGAAAAAAAGGGAGAAGACTTCCCGAGCACACCTGTTATCGTTCGTGTTTACGTTTCACTCGGCAATACAAATTTTCCATTCCGTAAATTCTCGGCGCTTGACCTTTCTGGTAATTACTACGCAACCGCGCCGATGTTATTCAGCAATGTTTTTCTTATTGAGAGCGCCAGTTGGACTTGTGTCTTTTCTCGAGCGTGTACATATTCCATTCAGTTCTCAGTCTTTAAATCGAAATTATCGAGAAGAAAAGTGTTCTTTTAAAAGTTTATTTTATTGTCATTTGTATATAAATTACACTGCAAGTGGTGCTGTTTGCGGCATATCTTTGGATGGTTTCACTTCAGATGCCGGTTGCGAAGGGAATATTTCATCCTTTGGTTCGACAATAGATACAGAATCTGGAAGAGGCTTCTTTGGACCTGTCTTGCCTTGAGGATCATACGGGAGCATAATTTTCACTTTGATTCCAAGCACACCTAATACAAACAGATCGTTACAAAGTTAAAATCTTTAATTCTGTTTTAAATTTCAGCCGTCTAAAAGGTGTACCTTGTCTGAGAAGTACGTGACGCGTTGCAGTGTTAACATATTCATTGGTGGGTTCTCCAGAGTGAATCATCAATCCGTCGACAAATTTCATGGATTTGGCTCTCTGACCACGCAATTTACCGCTAACGACGACTTCGCAACCTTTCGCTCCAGATTCCATGATAAAACGAAGAACTCCGTAACAAGCTCTAAAAACAATTATATTTATTGTTCGTTATTACGGATGTTCGCAAGTTATTTATGGTAATTAAATTATCAAGCTAACCTTCGCACTGCGAGTCCTCCTATTAATTTGTAACGCAGGGATTCTGCTTGAGCAATAGCACACAGACCACGGGTCGCAACTTTCTCCGCGTACAATTCAATGTTCTGTGTTTCTTTAAAGTTGAACCGTTTCTGTACCACAGAAGTCAATTCTCTGATCCTACGGCCTTTCTCTCCAAGAACGCTTTGTGTATGCGTTGCCAATAAAATAATCTCGGTACGATGCGGAGTCACGCGTACTTCTACTCCTGAGTATCCATCTTCGGCGAGTTCACGGGTTAAAAATTCGTTTAACTCTGCTTTGAAGACTCCATCTCCGACAAACTGAAAGGAAGATGTAAATTAATTAACATAATTTCTTCGTGACCAGCTTCCAATAAATAAAGACGAGTTAACCTAAAAGTACATGTTTGTTGACACGTACATATATGAAATGAATATTTCATGTTATCGCGACTGTACTAGTGTATTTAATTTAATTTGATAATAAATGAAAATTATATCGATGCACACGAAGATAACACATTTGTAATGTTTATAACGCGAAGAATTCAAGCATCTAACTGAATGGTTAACAGCTGAAAGCATCCATATCATCCATAACTTTCACGTGTTATATGTTCGTATTTTTTGGTGAAATATTCCCTTTCATGCTTTCTTTGACACAATGTAAGTCATATTTTTGAGAAATTCTCATCACAGATTGCTAAAATTCACCAACCTTCCTCTTCTTTGAAATTGAACGATTGTCCATGTTTTAGGCTGGAGCGACAAAAGGAACCGAAATCCAAAAGACTCGACTGGAAGAGGAAGTATCCCAACTTGCTTGGAGCGCCACATCAAAGTCAAAACAATATTTATTATGGAAGAAAACATCGCTTGAATACATCATTTTACGTAGTCACTTATTAGAAAAATTAATTTTCTGTTTTTAAAGAGAAAAAACATTTAAATTAGAGCCACTGGTGGATCGCTTTCAATTAAATATAAAGGCTTAACTAAATAGAGGTTATGAGACCTCAGTCATTTCAAGCGTAGAGCACATACACTCCTTTACGTGGAGTATTTGTAATATTTAAAGCACATTTGTTACAATAATTTCTTGAACACATGCTGTACGTCCAATGCATTATTCGTCCGCTAAAACAAATGTTTTCAAAATTTCGAGAAACAAATTCATCGCATGCCGTTAACTCCTATTTAATACGAATAAAAAGATGAAACGATACTTGAAGTTCGAGCAAAGTAGATACAAACGAACATCGAGAAGTTGCATGCAGCACTGTGCTTTCATAGTTTTTTCTCTGTAAAATGTAACAAGGCTAACCCGGCATCGTAAAGCTTATGATAATTACATTTTCTTCTTACGGTCCTGGGTACCATCGCGCACACATGTACAACGAGATACGCTTCACGTTGCAGACACAACTTTATCGTGTCATGCAACGAGAATTTATTCGTGTATGCGTACGGTGATCTGCCGTGAAGTGTACCGTATATCAGAACGATGATTTGCCTTTGACATGGAGTGGAGAAGAATAGCTCTCACAGTGTTGATAGTGGGTTTATGTTTTCTGGCAATACCGATCAGAGTGGGCCCCGATACCAACATCGAGGATGTTAAGCTGTTTAAGAATTACGTCGTTCGCTTCAATAAATCTTACAGAAGCGATCCAGCAGAATATGAGGAAAGGTTCGATCGGTTTAAGGTACGTCCGTAAAATAGATTACGGTCCTCGGAAATGCTTGATGTGTACAGGTAGCATAACTTATCAAATTAAAAAAAAATATTTCTTTTTAATAAGTTTTCGGAACGCATATCCCCTTTTTATATTGGTTCTGGGTTTCGTGTAACACGGTTTCGCACAACACAGCATTTTCTAGGAACCTATCTATCGTGTTACAGGAGGGTTACCTGTATCAGTAAAAATGCGCGGGAAAATTTCCCGCGTTCGCGTTCTTTCATTTTTATTTGTTTTCTCGTTTACAAAATCCACAGGCTCCATATCTAATTCGATAAGACACAAGTAATTTTAATCGTTAAGAGATTGCGAATATTATTTGTTCGGAACACTCGAGTCATCTTTTTGAGATTGCTCGTACCGATAATCGATTATGAAAGTTTACAGTGTTTGTCAGGCACAAATTATTCTGTATTTGTTTGAATAATTTTGCATTTATTAGACACTTCGCGTTTACTTTTCGTCTGTCTTTTCATATCATTATGATAGTAGCGGACGTAAACGCTACTTAAATAAAGAGATAGTACGGGTTCACGGTTCTTTACAAGCTCCAGAGGAACATCATATTCGTCATTTCCTCTTTCTTCTTCTTCGTTTCTAGATTTCAGACTAGAATATCCTCTTAACCTATATGCGCGTAGGTATTTTGCATTTTTTTTACGATACAAGGATGCTCGACTCGTTTTTTATATAATCGAAAGCATTGCTCGCGTAAAGGTTGTGACGTGTCTTCGTTGCAGAGATCGTTACGGCACATAGAAACAATGAATGGCCTTCGATCTTCGCAAGAGAGCGCGTTTTACGGGCTGACCGTGTACTCTGACATGTCGGAGGACGAATTTTTGGCGCAAACACTCGTACCTGACCTCCCCATAAGAGGTGAGAGAATTTGGAAATGCACTGTATGAAAATGCGTATCGAGTATACAGGGTGTTCGGCCACCCCTGGGAAAAATTTTAATGGCGGATTCTAGAGGCCAAAATAAGACAAAAATCAAGAACACCAATTTGTTGATGGAAGCTTCGTTAAAAAGTTATTAACGTTTAAAGTGCCGCCCTTACTGAATTTTTTTCTCGAAAATGGGCAAGATTTCGGGGGTATGTCTATTCACCAAAAATGACTGTAATTGAACCCTACAACCGAAAATAATTTTTCCACAACGATTTGCAATTTTTTAATTTTCTCGAATAATTTCACACCTTCTCTATTTTTTTTCTCGAAAGTGGGCAGGATTTCGTGGGTATGTCTAATGACAAAAACTGATTGTAATTGACCCCCGCAACCGAAAATAATTTTTCCAGAACGATTTGAAAAATTTGTTTTCACCGAAAAGTTTCAGTACCTATTCGATTTTTTTTCTCGAAAATGGATAGGATTTCGGAGGTATGTCTAATCACCAAAAATGATTATAATTGACCTCCGCAACCGAAAATAATTTTTCCAGAACGATTTGAAATTTTTGAATTTAATTGTTAATAACTTTTTAACGAAGCTTCCATCAACAAATTGGTATTCTTGATTTTTGTCTTATTTTGGCCTCTAGAATCCGCCATTAAAATTTTTACCAGGGGTGGCCGAACACCCTGTATAGTCGAACAAAATCGTTGACGTGTTAGACGACGATCAGGACTTACGGTATGAATTTACATACAGCTAACGCAACGAAGCGGACGGAGGACAATAACAAAATAAGCCTTATATGCAAATGAACAATTTGTTAGGGGGAAAACACGTGAACGCGTCGTATCATCGGCATCACCATTCGCGTCACAGAACCGATCGGGATAAAAGATCGGCCGATGTACCCTTAAAAATTGATTGGAGGGAGAAGGGAGTCGTTAATCCCGTGAGGGGCCAAGGATCGTGCGGGGCTTGTTGGGCATTCAGCACCGTCGAAGTCATCGAGTCGATGTTTGCGATCAAAAATGGTACTTTATATTCGCTAAGCGTGCAAGAAGTAAGTTTATCGAACGATTGTCATGAATCTTCCATTTTCCAGTAATTTCTGATTTTTTTTCCAACAGATGATCGACTGCGCGAAGAACGGTAATTTTGGATGCGAGGGGGGCGACGTATGCAGCTTGCTCTCGTGGTTGCTGTTGTCGAAAGCGAAAATTCTTCAAGAATCCACTTACCCGCTCACGCGAAAGACGAGCACGTGCCAATTGGGGAAGTGAGTGTATTGCAATAGGATGTATTTTAACGACGCGTATCATGGGCAAAGATTAATAACAAAATGTTTTCTTTTCAGGACATTGGACAAAGAGTCTGGCATAAGAATAAAAGATTTCACGTGCGATAGGTAAGAAACTTTATAAAACGTGCATTCACGTATCAGGCATATTTGATCGGTAGGAGATTCCCGTTTGGTATGTCGCATCTTCGAGTCTCGTCGCGTGCAATTAACGGTAAAGGTTTCCTTACATAAGCTGACGTGCATTATTCTTGTTAATAAGAACTCGGTGTCATTGAATACATACAGAACGTGAATGCTACATTCTTTTCTTAACATACTCGATTATGTTAAATTACTCAAAGAAGATTGGGTTGAAAATATCAAAATTAAACGTTGTCTTATGCAGATATAATTTATTTACATTCCTCGAGTAACAAGTATTTATTTAACTGGCTAAGAAAGGAAAGATTCGACTAATCGAATATCGTTGGATCGGAATTTGAATATTTTCTTTCCATTTTTTGAACAGCCTCCTTCTTAAGCTTGATATTAAAAAATGGCCGCTGCTTGGAACGAGTAATAATCAGTTGCCGCGTTTGTCGTTAAGGCGATTAAAGGTTTAACGGATGTTAGCTTTAGAGACGCGGAGGATGAGCTGCTGGTAACGCTGGCTAGTCACGGACCAGTAGCGGCTGCAGTGAACGCTTTATCTTGGCAGAACTACTTGGGCGGTGTAATACAATATCACTGCGATGGCTCTTTTGATAATTTGAACCACGCTGTACAGATAGTGGGGTACGACAAATCGGCCGGTATACCGCACTACATCGTCAAGAATTCGTGGGGATCGAGCTTCGGAGATAAAGGCTACATGTACATAGGAATAGGCAGTAATTTATGTGGTACGATTTATCTTAACGCTCGCGAACACCCGTGAAATATGAAATACCTTATGAATATATTAACACGGAGAATTGGTTCTGTTAATAGGTATAGCGAATCAGGTCTCGTCGTTGGATGTCCTTTGAAACGAATAAAAATATTTAAGGTACTCTTTGATTCGAATTAAGTATTTGTATTGAACGTTAAATGTACATAGATCTCGCAAAACTGTCTTTAATCAGGATATCTTCGCAAACGACAATAACATTAACAACGACAATTGCTGGTACGACTACGTGTTCGATAATTGTTACGACGGAATCCTTGCGTCGGTATCGTGTTGCACGATAATCTACGCGACCATTTGTATAATTTTACAGACGTTATAATACACTCTAAGTGCCCGAGTATAATAAAGTTTTAAGTTATCGACTTAATATTTACTTTCTATCGTTTACGTGTATCTAAAAGTAACATTTCCTGGTAAACCTATTAATCGCCTTATCGTTCCTGATGTGTGTTCGTCCATTTAGGTATTCTCGAGCGTACAGTCGGAATTGTTCTGATTGTCGTCCGGATTCCATCCGTTGCAGGCAATGGACAGTTTCGTTTTCATTTGCTTTGTCAGCGGCGGGATCATATGGCGAGGTATCAAAAACGTGGACAGGTTGAACAGGTCCAAGAACACCTTGTACCTGTCGCTGTTATCGATACACGTAAGTAAGTAAAACACATTCTTACCCGGTCACACGTTTCTTACGTAATAAATTTCGTTCTGTTCCAGTATCGACTCCAGTATGTTCATATCTATGATACGTTACCTTAGAGTAGACTTCAAGTATTGATAACCGGAAGATCCCCCGGTTCCGAGTTGCTGAGATCCGATCATTCTCTGAACCATCAGAACGTGATTATCTAGAAAATACAAAAAAACGATGGTTCCTTAATTCTTCAAGGTGATCGAGACAAGATCAAGTCGATTATCATTCTCTCTAAACATAAATGGTTGAATGCTTCTTCTTACACCTCCATTTCGTGATAAGGGAATCGATATCCATCAACGCGGTCAGAATCTGATGGGGTTGACTGAATCTCGGCTCGTCGCGGTACAAAGTGATCATCACGGCGCCTTGAAGAGCCGCGTAGGCGAATTTCCTCTCGCCCCGCGACACCAGCGCGTTGTGAAGGGACTCGTTGAAGACCGTGTCGAAGGCTGCCTGTCGCGAGCGCACGTTCGACAAGTAATAATTTCTAAGCTGCTCCTTCGTTTGCTTCTGCGAAAACGACGCGAAACGTTAAGATCCCCGCAATGTAAACGATTTGGAAAAGCGTGTCGACGTTCGAAGGAAAACGATTACTCGGGCTAGTTGTTCCTGTTCGGCGATCAGCTTGTCGACGGCGTTTTTGTACTTTCCCCAAAAGTCGAAGTCGCGAGGGTCGAGGCCCGGCGTTCTCGCCAGCCATCTTTGGACGAGACAGCTGAGGCTCGGCTCTTCCTCCGAGCGTTTGATCGCCTCGATGGCTTTCGGATCCCGTCCGAAGATTCTCACGTAACTCTGATTGTACTTGACCCTGTGCTCCTGCTTCACGCCCAGCTTGTTCTCCAACAAACGAAACTGCAGCGACTGGAAACCGGAGGCGGAGCACAGGTAGTCCCGAAACGCCATGAAGTCCAGCGGCGTCATGGTTTCCAAAATCGTCACTTGGTCCACCAGTAGCTGCAAACAATAAAAAAATAACAGACATCGGACTATCGGAGCTTACGCGAGAATCCTCCAAAATACAATAAATTTGCCTTAGTTCGCTTCTGTAAAAACGCAGATTCTTTCTACGTGAATTTAATCCTTTAAGTTTATCGCGGATACATAGTTTACCGTGCCCGCGCGTCTTTGGACGCAGACACGCAATCGATCTTGGAGTGTCCACGTCTAAGAGACAACCCATGCCCCGCGATTGTATGGTTGCCACGCTTACGCGTCTACCGCGCCAGAAAGAAGCGTAACCACCAACGTATGCGATCTGTTAACCGTAATGCGCATTTCAATGAATTGATTATTCTGATCGTTCCTATTTTCTATCGTTTTTCCAGGCTGAACAGTAAATTTCGAACGATCGTCCGGGAGGTCGCGATTGTAGATCACGTGAAATCCTGCCCGCTTGACCCTGCGACGCGATTTTTCAACGGAACCAGACGAGAAAAGGCGACGACCACACCTGCATTCTGTGGTATGGTAAGAGCGCCACGAGATTGTTACCTAACTCATCTATGCGTGTGAGCGCGGGGTGTCGCGTATCATCTAGCGGTATTAGCTTACATAGATCTCGCTGTTATTTCTGCAGTTCCCACAATCTTTCTTATTCCGGCATGAGTCGGGGTGGGAGTGTGTGTGGGGAAGGCAGAAAGGTAACGGTAACGAAAAAGTGTCGCGTTCCCGGGAACCTTGACCCGTTTGTTAACGCTCCGTGGAGGACGAACGGGGGAAAAACAGTGTCTCGATTTTCATCGACGATCGGTCATGAGAAACATACACGTAGTGTATTCTAACGACGATGAGACTGCCTCGAGCAGATACCAGGGGAATGATTTCCCAATCGTCGTGCAAAGAGTGGTGCGAACGGCATCTGAAACTGGTTCTCTCGTACCGCGTTACGCGTTCCTGCAGCGATCTGGAATTCGTTCTTGTTCGTTTGGTCGAAGACGCGAGGCTTGATATGTTTGATGTGAGACAGTGTGTCGCTGGCCCCTGGGAGCAGTGACGTATTTCAAAGAAATTCGATTAGAGTAACCACAGCGGATCAACACCCTTGTCATGAATAGTGCCCTAATTGGCTTGCGATTAAGGGTCGTTCACGTTCCTCCCATCACTGTCATTGTCAACGTATGGCCACTGGCCTCGATTCCCCGAGCATAGGATTACCTATCGGTGGTCTCGCGTTTGCGCGGGAAAAACTCTCGTTTCGCTGTTTCTTCCTCCAACCGTTTACCAGAAATATTCACGGTACAGCTCCTGCTTCTGATCGGTTTGAACGTGGAGTCTTCTGTCGCTTACTTTCAAAATGAGGACGATGCGGTTCAATCTCTTCAGGATCTCCAGGGTTCTCGACTCGTTCAGAACCTGGGAGAGCCGATTCTTCTGAACACCGGTACGATTGTTCGGTGTACCGTTCAGAGAGTCGTAGTCGCTGGTCTCCGGGTTGAAGAGCAATCTCACCGAGTCCAATTCGTAGATGATCTGCTTGAACCAAAGCTCGTACGCTACGGCAAAAGATGCACGATCGTAGAAATACTGTCCTTGACACGAGGAATATTTAATTTGCTTATCGACGCGAAAACAGAAAATTACGCAACCAGATAATATTTACCCTGATGAGTGACGATAAACAGATGCTCGTCGTGCACTTCCTTGTTGTATTCGGCGCTCAACAATCTCTGCGCGGTCAGGATTTTGTCCAAACGAAGGTACTCGCTGTAAAGCATACCCGGGCCCTCGGTCAATTGGTCGCCATCTTGATCGAGATCCTCCCTGAAATTACCAAAACACGTTCAAATCTACCCTGAAGCTTTTATTCCAATCGATTTTGTAGTTTTTTTGCCAAAGAATCCCAAAGAACTGTTATTCGAGGAGTTTCAAATCACGGATATACAGGGTGTTTAGGATATATAGGGCAAAATAAGACGAAAACCAAGAATACAAATTTCTTGACCGAGGCTTCGTTAAAAAGTTATTAAAAAATTTCAAATCATCCTAAAAAAATTATTTTCCGTTGCAGGGGTCGATTACAATCATTTTTGGTCGTTACACATACCCCCGAAATCCTACACGTTTTCGAGAAAAAAATTCGAATAGGTACCTGAACTTTTCGGCGAAAAAAAAATTTTTCAAATCGTTCTGAAAAAATTATTCTCGGTCGCGGGAGTCGATTACAATAATTTTTGGTGAACAGACCTACCCTCGAAATCCTACCCAGTTTCTAGAAAAAAATTCATCCGGCATGGAACGTGTTAATTATCGAGTTAATTAATTCCTCCCGTAATAACAACCCGTCGTGAGGTCTATGAGGGTCAATAGACGTAGGAGAAGATGTACGAGTTTAACGAATTGATACAGACGCGTCGAGTCTTGTCGATTTTTTAGTTTAGAAACAATTCGATGGGATTCCATTTGTTTACCATTAGTAGCTCGGATAACTGTTACTTACGCAATGCCAACGGATAAAGGACAAGCCATTTTTTGGCCACTGCAATGCCCTCGAATTAATAATCAAATTGGATCGTAGTTTAAAAACACCTAAACACTTTGTTTCTTGAGTTTATCGCGATCGATATCGGTACCCTTTGCTTTTAGATCGAACAATTGAAACGATCACTGACGGTTTGGTTTGAAGTTCGGTTCGGCGAAAGACGACAAGCGACACGAACTATCGACGAGGTGGTTGAGTCGCGACTAAAAACTGAATGACCATCGGACTCGGTGAAACTATCCCTCTTATATTTCCAACAGCGAGGGCACGTGAATGAACGATCAAGGATTATGGTTTCTTTAAATGTTGTTAAGTGTGAAAATCTTCCTATAAATACATTCGTTATCTATCAAGATTTTCATTGCACAATCTAACATGGTACGCGAATTCGAATGGAAATATATGGATATTATTCGATCGCCAACGAACAGGGAACAACGAAACAGGCGTAGTAGCTTTACAGGTTTTCGATCAGTATTTATTCTCTTCCTTAAAAAATAGTGATCCACCGCAGAAAATTGTACATTTTTATCCCCGAAACGTTCAAATTTCGTTCGTCGTTGCCCTGCGATCGACGTTGCTCGTCATCGTCGTAAATAACATTAGAACATGCGATATTTTGTTTCTATAAACATTTTAGATTGATATCGTAATTAAAAATCAAATCGTATCGGGGTTAGAAACAAAAATCATCAAAACTGAACTGTCGCGGTTCGATAACACGGGACGGTTTATGGCGTCTCCGACAGATGTCGACAGGAACATCGTTTCCAAATCATCTTACGTGATCTCCGATGATCGATCCTCCTCGTGACCAAGCAACGCGATAAGGAAAATTTAGATATTAGAAATATTGCGTGGCATCGAGCACGTTTATTATTTACAATAAAGTGTATTCGTTTGACAGTATCGGGTCGAAAAACAGGGAGCTTCCATCGGATCGAAACAATAGACAATAGCCTTCGTGTGAAACGTGGGCCCATTAAAGTGTTAAAACAAGCATGACTCCGAGAAGTAATATACAGTGGAATGTGGAAACGAATAGACTACCATAGATTATGCGTGTCTCTTGTTAGAATCACCTATAAAAAGGAGATTCGACAGGTCCAACAACCATTCGGTTTATATCGTCGCGGCATCGCCAGCTCCTTCTTTATCGCCGGAAATCCACAGCCCCATCTGCCGGTAAAAAAATACACCATTTTACGGAGAATATTTGCGCGCATATAAATTACTCCAAACCGAAGACACTTCTTTAAAACGAAGCGTACGAAATGTACACGCGTTGATCACAACGATACCGATGTATTTTATTTATAATCAACACCCAGTCGATCGAAGCATACAAATTTATAAATGCTCGAAGTTCCACGTAATCGTTTGTTCGCATAGAACGTTTCATCTTTCCTATGTTTACTTTCGTTGCAACAGATGTCGGTGTGTGTGCGACCATGATATGCAAAATTTCGATACGCTAACACATCCATGCAGAAGATTGCGTAACATCGAACATGTTTATTATTTACAATGATGTTTTGTTCGAGGGGTATGCAACGGTCTGAAATAGTCAACTATTACAACCGTTGTCGATATGTAATTCAGTGCCCTGGCAAAAATGGCGAAATTTTCATCGGCGTACCTTTTTTTAAATGGCTTTCGATTCTCAAACGAGAATCGTTGGTTTACGCGTAGTAGTTCCACGATGCTACTTCCGTTTAATTTTACAATTGGTACAGGAAAGAAAAAATGAAGTCAACGAAATATTTCTCGCGTGATGTTCGTTTCTAATCGCTTTGCGTGACCGATTACGAAACGAACCGGGCTTAATATAGATTCACGGTTATCGAACAGTTGTTACGTTCAAACGTGAACAACTTTAGGAAGTTGGACAATGATTTTTAACCTCTTGACGGTCGGGTAGAAATTCGTGGACCCATTTTTCAAAATGGCGCTTCGGAATGGAGTCCGTTGGTGTCCCGTAATATTTGTTTGATAAGAAATTGGAGATTTTGAATATTTCGAGGGAAAGGGACGCGAAGAGGAATAGGAAGGATGAATTGCAGGTTGGATTATGCGTGTTTAGCAATGCGTGTGAAAGTGGGGGCCGTTAGTACCATCTACAAAAAGGAGACCGGTTTAACGACTACTCGTTTTTTAGTAAAGTCACGGGTTCCATCTGTCCGATGATTGGTGAACAATTCGTTCTAGAGATTCTAGTTGCTATTGCGGACTGACGTGGCGCGCAACAGATTATACGCAACATTCGTGGTCCCCATTAATATCACCGTACATCGTTATAGCAACATCGTTTCCGTTTGTTTTGACGACAGGTACGTGTACATATACGTAATACAAATAACAAGATTCAGGGAACAAATAACACTAGTTTTGTTTTTCATCAACGCGTTATTAATAATAAGTCGAGATAAGAGATAATGAAAATCTAACGCTCTATTGGCCATAATAGAAGTATTCGGGTCGTTTTAAATAGGCTAAAATAATAAAAGGAATCGAAATACAAGGTTGATATAATAACGAGCAATTTGATCGTTCTTCTTCGAACGATCCAACACTATTTGGAAAAGATTATCAGTTTTATCGTTCCAATAACAAGGTTACAAAGTTAACAGAGGCGATTACGCGGGAATCTGAACGATAAGAGGATAAGAAGTGAAAAAAGAAACTAGAATGAAATTGAAATCTGCTTTGAAGAACCCGAAGCGGAGTAGGCTGTACGCATTCACAGTCAACGTTGCGGTTAATTGACTCAATACGCTTGATTCGGAGCGTGTTCTAGCTCCGCTTCTACGAGAGCCTCCGAGGAGAAAGCATATTCAGTTCGTGATAATTAGATTTGTACGTCAGGTTAAATTGGTCGTTACCTCGTACAAATTGTACGAAAACTTCGATCATTTCGTTCGAAGATTTGGTCCTTGATCGGTCGAGTGTACCGCGGAGGAGATCGGAGAATTTTAATCGCTCTGATTTACTAATTATTTTAGGGATACCTCGAGGACAAAATGGCGAAGGTCGTCTTATACTCCGACGAAATAAGTCCACCGTGTCGTTCGGTTCTACTTACAGCGAAGGCGATCGGGCTAGAGCTGAACATTCTCGAGACCAGTCTCGCCAGCAGGGACCACTTGAAGGAGGACTACTTAAAAGTTAGTATACCGGAGTGTAAATTGATTTATTCAATGATTTATAACTTTTCTGCGTTCTTGTCAGATCAATCCCCAGCACACGATCCCAGCGTTAAACGACAATGGCTTCATACTCGCGGAAAGGTAACAGGGCTGCGTTAGAGAACGATCGAGACATCGCTGCTTTCGAATGAATACATAGATCGACTGTTTCAGCCACGTTATCGCCTGCTACCTGGTCGACAAGTACGCGAAAAACGATTCCTTGTACCCGAAGGACTTGCAGAAACGCGCCCTCATCAATCAGCAGCTCATCTTCGACGCGGAACGGCATTTCAATCCTGCGAAGAGAGTCTTCGTAAGTGATCGTTATTTAACGCTTAAGTAGACTCTTGATTGTTACAATCATTAGCTTAAACTTCTGGCCCCGATGGCTTAAGGGTTGAAGAGAGAAATTGGGGATTCCCCTGGAATAAAATATGATATTTGATACACGTAGAATCCTTGGATGGTTGGTAAGTGGACTCTCTGAATTGTTACAATTATCAGCTCAAATTTGTGGCCCCAATGACCCACTTAGGGGTTGAAGAGAGAAATCGGGGATTCCCCTGGAATAAAATATGATATTTGATACATGTAGAATCCTTACACGGTTGGTAAGTGGACTCTCTGAATTGTTACAATTATTAGCTCAAACTTGTGGCCCCGATGACCCCCACTTAAGGGTTGAAGAGAGAAATCGGGGATTCCCCTGGAATAAAATATTATATTTGATACACGTCGAATCCTTGGACGATTGGTAAGTGGACTCTCTGAATTGTTACAATTATCAGCTCAAATTTGTGGCCCCAATGACCCACTTAGGGGTTGAAGAGAGAAATCGGGGATTCCCCTGTAATAAAATATGATATTTGATACACGTCGAATCCTTGGACGGTTGGTAAGTGGACTCTCTGAATTGTTACTGTGGCGCTGCTTCGCTGCGGGTAGGGGATCTCGTGAGAATTCGTAGGAGGACAGAAAAGGAAAGGAGGGGGCGCCGTTTCGTCCGGGCCTGCCAGTGGACTCATCAGTAAGACTTTCTAGCAGGCCCTGCCTTAGACGACTGGGATATATAGTGTATATATAACAACGGAGGGGTCGGTCGAGCGCTTGTGAGAGCGCGACCCCTCTGGTGGCGAGCATGGGAGGCGACGCCACATTACAATTATTAGCTCAAACTTGTGGCCCCGATGACCCCCACTTAGGGGTTGAAGAGAGAAATTTGGGATTCCCCTGTAATAAAATATGATATTTGATACACGTAGAATCCTTGGACGGTTTGGTAAGTGGAGTCTCTGAATTGTTACAATTATTAGCTCAAACTTTGTGGCCCCAATGACCCACTTAGGGGTTGAAGAGAGAAATTGGGGATTCCCCTGGAATAAAATATGATATTTGATACACGTAGAATCCTTGGACGGTTGGATGGCACTTGGGTAGTCCGGTATCTGGTCGATGGGGGCCTTGTTCCATGGACAAAGGCGAGTCCATCGGGGCTGCCGATTAAGCCAGGCGAAAGGAGGTTAATGCTATTCGCCTTTCCGCGCGTATATACGCGCAGGAGCATTATGTGATGCCGGTAGGATGTTCCCTGTGCATCCTATGTACCTTTTACGGCGCCTAATAAAGTCAGCTAACTGCGCATTTTTGCCCCGCGATGGGCCAACTACGAGGGACTCGTTTCCCTCTACGTGTGCGCCGCTTATAAGCGGTAGCCGGCTCGAATTAATATTACAGGGAGAAGTAGCGACGTGAAATTCTCAAACGACCCTATCCCTATCGCGTCTTACTTTTCTGGTAGCTGTCCAGTTCCCAGGTGCCAAAACCACCACTCAAAATAGAAATGGAAATTATTCCATCGATTAGATATCAATTCCGAGTTCTTCCACAGGGATTCGAGGGGTAGATCTATCGAACTTTCAATTTTATTTGCCGTAGAAACCAATAATCTTCCTGGATCAGAAGGAAATTGCCGAGGAGGGATCGACGGCCTTGAAAGAGGCCTACGAGATCATGGACAAGCACCTGGAGGGTAAGAAGTGGTTCGTCGGGGATTCCTACACCCTCGCGGATCTGTGTTCCGCCGCCACTACGTCCAGTACCTCCGTAAGCGTTCACGTTTCGATCGTCGCGCGTGGAAATAAATCTTAGAGGCGCGTGGTACATTGTTTTGAACCGTTTCGCAGGTGGTGATCAACCTGGACGATTACCCGAACGTGAAAGCTTGGCTGCAGAGATGCGAGAAGGAGCTGCCCGGCTACAAAGAAGTGAATTTGCCAGGAGCTACCAAATTGCACGCTGCCATTCTCGCGAAACTCGCCTGAACGTATTCAATCGGTACCTTTTACCCCTTTGTTTCTCAAAAGTGCGTAGGATTTCAGGGGTATGTCTATACACACCCTGCAGTTGAAAATAATTTTTTTAGAACGATTTGTAATTTTTTTTTTCGCCGAAAAATTTAGGCACCTACCCCCTGTCGATTTTTCTTAAAATTCATTTTTCATTTTTAATAAATTTTCCTGACGTCCTACCGGAAATTTTGTCTAATACTTTTTTATAGGTATCCATGAGCTCTACTTCGGGGAAAAGTTTCATCGAAATATATTCACTATTGTAGGAGTTGTGGCTGTATGAGTATTGGCCCACTTTTATGGGGTTCTTTCTCAGTTTACGGGGTTAAGGAGCAACTTTTCGAATATTTTTATAATCTCTACATATTCTTGACTAAAATACGCGTTGTTTGCCGGTCGAAACATTAAAATCCTCCAATCCGTTCAGAAGTTATGATATTTTAAAGATTCGCGTAAAAGTATTTCTGGCTACAAACTATATCTTCGGTAAGGAATTTTTTTTCTCGAAACTGAGTAGGATTTCGGGGGTATATCTATTCACCAAAAATGATTGTAATTGACCCCTGCAACTAAGAATAATTTTTCCAGAACGATTTGAAATTGTCTATTTTCGCCGAAAAATTTAGGCACCTACTGAATTTTTTTCTCGAAACTGAGTAGGAATTCGGGGGTATATCTATTCACCAAAAATGATTGTAATTGACCCCTGCAACTAAGAATAATTTTTTAAAACCGATTTAAAATTTTTTATTTTCGTCGAAAAGTTCAGGCACCTACTGAATTTTTTTCTCGAAACTGAGTAGGAATTCGGGGGTATATCTATTCACCAAAAATGATTGCAATTGACCCCCGCTACTGAAAATAATTTTTTCAGAACGATTTGAAATTTTCTATTTTCGCCGAAAAGTTTCAGTACCTCCTTACCTGGAATTCTTAATTTTTGTCTTATTTTGCCCCTCCAGAATCGCCCATTAAAATTTTTCCCAGAGATGGCTGAACGCTCTGTATATGTGAATGCAATTATTTGAAAATTGATGTAATCCTGCACGAGTTAATTATTTTTTAAATGCTTCAAAGGAGAGTCGATTTTCATTTACCGATTTGGTCGAGATTGTCCACTCGAGGGTTAATATTTCGAATGGCAATTGTAAAGAAGAGCGAAATCGAATCGCCGATGCGATTACGTGTATTGTTATTGCTATATTTTTATCAACAGACTGCGCGTATCGTTCACCGGATACGATACTTCCCGGAAGAGCAGATAACTCGTGCACTGATTAATATGGCGCATCTCGGGTGTCGTGTTCCTTTGTTTTCGTAGTTCATTTTTCTCTGGACGTCGCGCTATCGTTCGACCACCTACTCGACGATTCCAAGGAGCCAGGATAACGAACAACGGATTCCGTTTGTCTGGAAACCTTGAGATACAGTTGCTGGCACAACATCCTGTTGTTCGTTCGCTAAATAATTATTACGACACGCGTCGGGACGAACGTTCCCCGATCAACGAATTACGCGCGTTCAATCGGGAATCCGTTCGAAACGGTGTCGAAGACGGTCTTCGAAGCGGCCACGTAATTCCGTAGGTACGTAACTTGTCGACATTGAACCTGATGCTGGATCAGAAACCGTCCATCCTTCTGTCTTTTCCTCTCTCGTGTCGCGATCGCCCCCCTCCTCGCGTTCGACTGCAATTTGCGTAAATTAATACCTTCCATCTTCCGGCAATTTTCCTGCTTAGCGTTACTTAGTACATTTTCTCCGACCGGTAGCCCTCGTATGTGGGACGAGTCGTTTCGCGGTGGATCGCGAACCTTTTCACGTTCGCCGGAAAATAGAAACGGGAACCACCGAACAGAATTTCGTCGACCCCTTTCCAAACACCGGGCGAAATTATTAAAATGATCGTCAGAATCTTTCAACAGCATGGAATAAACATCGCGCTGGTGCACTAATAAATGCACGATATCAATTATTTATAAAGCGTCTTTGTAACGTGTACACTTAACGTTGCCCCTATCCAATTAGCCGCGTTGTTCGATGCAATTTCCTTGCACGTTTACGTCGATATCGATTTCAACGATTCATGGAATACTCTATTTGCCACGTGGGCGTATAATGATCAAAGTTTAGTTTTCACCGGCGGTACCGTTTCGATTAAACGCGAATAATAATCACTGTCGTCCCGCGTCAACGTTGAGTTGACGAGTCGATGCTGTTTGCTGTATAACGTATCGACAACGTTGCGTATAATTTCACGGTAATCGGGACACTTGGTCCTGTCGAGGGTTCGCGAAAAATTTGTTGGAAAAATCCTACGTACGAAAACCTCGAACGCGAAGATGGACGCGGCCTCGATAAATGCGCGCCACGTTAACAGAAGCGTCGATACGAGTGAATAATTAACGCGCACATCGCGGTATCACCGATCTGTCTGAATACTGAGATGTGTAGCGCATTGTTGCGGCACACATTGTATGGAAAACAGCATCATCGTGGGAAATGCGTGCGTCGTAGGAAAAGTCGGTTAATTACGACACTTGCTCTCGTCGACTTTTGCCACGCTGTACGTTTATCGCGCGTTAAAAAATACATTTCACGTTATTAACTATATATTAGAGATGCTCGTCTCGTTATCGAATCGAGCGTACGACGTTGTTTTAAATAAAATGTTTCCTACGCTTGTTAAGTCTCGTTGCAATTGTTTTCTTCCGTTTTTATCGCGTGTAAGTCGCACACGCGCAGCCATCGTTCACTATTTCCACGAAACGAGACGCGGGGGCCAGCTTCGCCGCCTTCCCGTCAGACAGGTTCCCGCCTTTTGGCTCGTTTTTTAAACACCGTCCTCTTTGTGTTTTTTAGATTCGCCTATGCGCAGGGAACGAAGAAAAAAAGAAAAGAGCTCGATAGGATTTTAGGAGCTCGCCATCTTGCTAATAGGATTACCCCCCGCGTGTCCGGCTCGAGACGACCGAAAAAAATGATTTGCAGTCCTCGGTATCTAGCCACTTGTCAGCCGCGCGAATATTTACGAAAGACCGGACTCTGGCTCCCAGTCCTTTATTTCTTGATCCTGCCCCCCGGAACGGGAATGCAGAGCCTTTAAGCCTCGGAAGATCGTACGTTCATAGATCCCTCGCGAGGACCACTACAGAGTACGATATTTTAATTTTAACCCTTTGCACTCCGATTTATAGTTGAATTTTGTTACCAAGCAGCTCCCAACGCTTTCAAGTGTTTTATTTGAAATTTACTGAAAAATAGGGAAATTTGAACAAATGGAGGAACAAACAAATTCAATCAAATATCTGTGTTATTTACACTATTGTTGCAAGTGTATGATATATCTTTGGTTTGAATTTGAACAAATGTCGAGTCGAAACCAAAGAGATATCGTACACTTGAAAATTAGAAAATACAACAGTGTAAGTGAAACAGATATTTCATTGAATCTGTTTAAATTTACCCTACTTTCAAATAAAACACTTGGAAGTGTTGGAAGCCGCTGGTAACAAAATTCAAATACAATTTGGAGCGCAAAGGGTTAAATTCTATTCGGTTTTATTTAAAATTAGAAATTTTTTCCATGTTTTTATTCCTTCTTCGTAGATTGCACCGTTACGAAACGGCGATAGTTAAATTTGCTTCCATTTGGAGGCATTTTTCGGAGGCGTCGCGACGCTGCAACGGACACGTTGACGTATGGATTGCTACGGCCAGAGCTTTTAGCGAATTCGTCGCGCGAGAACGCTCCGATCCATCTGCCGCTGTCGAAAGAGGAGGTTCTTTGAACTGTCTCCGAGAACTGGTTCGCACGGTTTTTCATCCGTAGCCGGTGTTAATAGAGAGACGCGCTTCTTTTCGCACGGTGCCAGCGGACGTCGGTGTGTCTGGCACGTCGCTTAGAAGCGATATCAGCCGTTCCCGGCGAGATAAGGAGCCTTGGTAAATAAAAAATACACGCGAGAACCGCGAATCGTGACGAAAGCGACGAGGGAAAGATGAAAACAAATTGTGCGGAGATCGGGTTGAACGGAGTTGCGGAAACGGGCACCGTTTGCGTCACACGGGGCGGAGGTCGAACATTTTTTCCACCCAAGGCCACGTGTTAACGATCTCCCATCGCGAGGGATTAATTAGAAACGGAGTTATCGCGAGTATTTCGTTTTTTTATTTAATCGAGACACTCGTATCTTACGAATAGCGGTTATTTCGTTCCCTTCGACGGCTAATTGATACTTGAAATCGTTATGCTTTGGACGATCGATGTTGTTTGGCTCGAGTTTTTCGATACCAATTACGAGACTTGTTATTAGCTAAACATATAAATGCTAAGAGGTCGCACGAACGACCTGCTTGTCTCGAATCGCGATCGCGTGCGTTTGTTGAACGCGATTCTTTTTACGTTCGAGCACAATTTATCGAGACTGCATCGACGGAGCTCATTATCTCTGTTCAGTGGCAACGATTGATCGAAAAATCCAATTAGCGCTCGAAACAAAATCGTTTGGCGCTGGTCGCGTTCAAAATCATATAAATTTCAAATCGTGGGAACGCGAGTTCTGCGAACTTGTACCCACTGTCTCTACCTGTGGCTATGCGTTTTCATTTCCATCGAAAAATAGTTGAACGGGTCCCTGGAAGCCTCCCCGCTGCGCGGACCCTCGTCTTTCCGATTTCGTTCGTCTTTTTATTCGTTTTACCGGCAGATAGATCAAAATTTAATACATTCGAACGAACGGAAACCTTCTATCGGGCATAACAGAGGAAGTGAAAGTTAGATAATCAATGTGAATCATTGTTGCACGGGAGAATGATCTCTCTAATCCGACTAATCGCTATCAGCGGTGCAAATGAACTTTATAGTCTCCCTGGCTAGACTCGACCGTGTGCGTAGAAAAAAACAGAATCCCAGGAACCGAATACGAGAGTCCGTAGGTCGGTTCGTGCAAAAGAAAGAAAGAAATGGTTGAATTATCGGGTCGGGATCGTTTGGTCGTGAAATACGAGCGCGCGTGCGATCGTACGTGTGTACGGGCCTATAAATACATATTCACGAGCGGATGTTGAGGCATTGCTAAGGTCCACGTGGTCGTGGATCACGGTGGTGGTAACAGTCGAGCTGCGACCGTCGTCCAAGTGTGCATCAAACGCGAGCCGGTGTGTTTCACTGCCGCGAAACGAAAAACCGAGGAACGAGGAAGGTCGGGAGGCGAAGAAACGGGGCCCCCGGGGACGGTGCAAGTCCCCTTTCGGTTCGTGTTTTCGCTCGAGCTCGCCGGGGGGAACGTTCGATCGAAGGCGTACGGGCACCGCTGTTAGATCGCGGACGAGATTCGGCCGAGGGTTGCGTTACCCGTGTTCTCTCGATGATCAATTTCGGAGTGATTCGCCGTAACTCGTGATCGATGGGACGTTTCAGGGTGTACCGTTCGGTTTGGTGATCGTTCCGCGAGCTCACGGACTCGGCTCGATGAGGCGCGAGTGATATTACACACGGCATTATACGCCGATAAGGTGAAAACCGATCCATCGATCCGCGGCGACTCGTGGCGCTCGACTAGCACAGAGACCGTAAGTTACTGCGATCGCGTATCGGAACGTGATTCTTAGGAATCGTTTCTTTTAACAGACACCCTTCGATCGAGCAACGCGTTAAGAACCACTGGTTTATACGATGCACGGGATAATGGATTCTAATTTATGAATGAATTTACGAGCGAAACGTAAACGGATGCTAACGAACGAATCTAAAGTCACCGATTCACTGTTCCACGAATAAAATTTCATTTCACGAACACGGTTTTCACCGGTCTTCTATCTCACTCCGTGCATCGATCGATTTGCGTTGTTCGCTCGTTGATTCATCGATCGCGGTGTTTGTTATCTGACCTTAACTCGCAAGTAATTAAACGCTAATGCGAAATGCAAAACGACTGGAATGAATCTCGACGGGTAGGCGTAAATTCCAAGTTGTCATTTCATTGCGACGATTCTGAAAAGGAGAAATAATGTTTCCTCGTTACCTTTCCGAAGTTCGATTTGAACAACACAACCTTCGAACGAATTTCGCAGAAACGGTGTCAAACGATAATAATAAATCAATAACTGCCAATAACTCGGGTTCTGTGTACGAATTTGTGTATCGTACGTTTCGTATTTAAGATCCATGCGCGCGGGAGTCCTTTTTTCTTCTTGCTGTTTGGCCATCGGCAAGGTATACGGCGCGGGGAAACTTGCTCGACCAGCTACGATCGGGTGCAATCTGTTTTTACTTCCCAGAAAAGCGATGTCGTTGTTCCCCCATGATCGCTCGGTGTCGTCGACCGACAAATAGACGCTTTTGGTTCTACGGTTCGAACGTTTTGCGTCCAAACACGGCGAAGATCTATTGTCGAGCGTATCCGCGGCTCAAGGATCTTCCTCTTATAGCCGGGGGCCATCGAGCCGCGTAACTTTACGAGCAAATTACCGTACAAGGATGCCGAGTTATTCGGAAAAAGCGTTAATTACGTTATCTCCGCTTGTCTCGACTCGTTTCATCGACTTCCCTGCAGCTGTACCTTTGTAGAAAGTCACTCCTTTTTTTAACATCACCGTAGTAAAAAATTCAGTGTCCAATCGAAGGTGTAGATCGCGATTTAGTGTATACGTGGGTGGCAGACTGTTAATTATAAATAGAACTGGAATTTCACGATAGAGCAATTGCATTTTATAGAAAAGGAGGCTGTGGTTTCAGCAAATCCGGAAGAAAGAATTCTTGGTTCTTTGTAATTATTGTACTTCGAGAATGATTCAACGGCCGGGGAATGTCTTCCCGCGTTTATACCGCTTTCGTTCGCTGTCGTTGCCCGTAGAAAACGAAAACGGCGGCCATTTAAAATACCATACCGCAGGCTGCGCGCAAAAACGACGGTTTCGAAAGGGAATAGATAATAGACACCTTAAAGACAAAGAATTCTACGCTGATTAAATACTGGAGCCTGGAACGGACGTGTATCAGCAGAGATTACGCCAAAAAATAGGCAAATCGTATTAAAATAACAGGTCGTTTGTCTGCATTTATCGAACGAGGCTCGTGCGCCGTTAATAAAGTCGTCGAGTGTCAGACCCGATCGTACGATCAATCTATCGAATGATTCATTCGAAGGGTGGAGTGTTCGACATAATTGATAAACACAGTGAAAGTACACGCGATGAGCAACGTGATAATAAATGCAAACATCGTCCGACCGGGATCGTTTCGTACCACGTGACACTCCCAATAATTAATAAGCCTCGATAATAATTATCGAACGTTAATCAATGGTCACGTATCGGACACGCCGCACGTAATTTTCACCTCGACTTCCTCGTGCGTTGTTTTTCCGATCCGTTCTCGAAAAACGCTGATCGTCCGTTGTTGTTTTTTTTTTTTTATTCACGGTGCAAAGTACGCGTCGGTAATTTTTGCGTCACGCGAATCCATCCCGTATCGATCGCCATTTATTTATTTTCTTCTGGAATCCCGTCGCGCGGTTACGTGTCCCTGTATTTTGTTAATATTTGCTTCGTCCTCCTCGTCGCGATCGAGAGGCGCGCCAAGGCTTTCGCAAACGGATCCGCAACGGCGGTCATTACACGAAATAACAGCGTAGAGATGGTATTTCCAAATCAATAATTACTTTGCGTCTTCGTAATCTTGAACCCGAATAATAACGGGTATGCGGACGAGCACGAGCTGGTGTGCGTGCTTGCGCATGACAGTCGATCTGGAGGCCATTGAGAATACACCTAGCACTGTTTATCATGTTTTTTTTTTCTTTAAAAAAATTTTTACATCGCCTTCGTCGAGCCTGATACGGTTGCATAATCGTACCGTTTATATTCCCGCGCGTTTCGAACCGTCAACCCTCGCCCCAACGGAGCCTTCTAAACGTTCTTCTTCGGATCGTTTGCTATAATTTTTATCTCGTGATTGGAAGCTCGTAGATCCGTGATTTAATTTCATAATTGAAGCAAAACATGGAAGGAGAGCGCGGTCGCGAGAAAATTCATAAATAAATCTGTCGATGCTAGTTTTTGCTACAGCGTCACGTAGATGCTCGCGAAATACGTAATAAATGATTTATACGAGACGTTGCGTGCACAATAACTGAACGCGATCGAATAAATTGGAAAATCGTCCAATAAGAACGACGGAACTTTGAATCGAAACAAAATGGACAGATAAACTGGCGCTCGTTGTTTCAATCTTACGACAAAATAATCAATGAGATTTCCCCGAGTTGAACACCCTGTATACCAGAAAGAAAATCGTGGAAACGGTATATTAATCGATCGAAGACTGCCCGATACGAATGGCGCTCGATCGAGGTAGAATCAAATATGGCGGCTGGTTCTGATTGGAAAAGTCGATGTATCGTGCGATTATGTTTGCAAACGACGCGTTACGTCCGCGTTCGGGGCCCCGGGATACGCGTAGCTCGTCAACTTACTTTCAGGCTCGTCGTTTCACCCGGAAGTGCAGGCGAATCGACTTCGTTCTTGTACGAAAGCAATCCGCTCGTGTCATTGTTCCGTTTTCCCCCCGATGGATCCCCGGGCGCAGCACGCGACACAGAGAGCCGCGTTTCCGGTCGTCGGTGTATCGGCAGACACGCTTGTTACGCTCTTCAAATATTTGTTCTGCCCTTCGCGGCGTTGTATCGCTCTCGCGCGCGGTTTCCCCGTTCCCGATCATGATTTATGGATCGCGATTTCCACTACGCGCGACTCTATCGCGGGATCCCGCCGGTCGATGTGTTTTTTTTTTCGAAAGCCGGTCAAAAAACCGCACCGACTATCCGCCCGACGAAATTACGGGGGCCCCGGGATAAACGAGTGGGAACGAGAGGTGCTCGAGATCAATCGAAACCGAGACAACGTCAGCCGGTTGCGTACGATATCGATAAACTCGATCCGCTCTATCAACTTATCCCGCGGATCCTGCCTTAGACGTGACATTATTAATCGTTGAAACGGTCCCCAATTAGTGGATAGTTTATTAGTACGTAATTAGTTTGAACAGAATGTTCAAATGATTAATAGCGTCGCGTCTGAAGCAGAATCTGCTAGATAAACCTTACTAACGAGTTTAACAGATTCGGGGATAAAACGCAGTTGTAGTGCCCATTGTCTCGAAAGTATTAACATAAATGGTATACTTTGTTCGACGAGAACCGACCACTGTCTTCGTTCGCCTACTCGTGAACTTTGCGCACGTTTGTTTAATATTTTATGGCAGTTCTCGCCGAACAGAGCGGGCATTATCAAATCACGAACTGATTACGAGGGCGTAACAATGCCTCGGCTATGGTTTTTGTGTAAATTTGAGGCACGAAACCCATCGCGCGATAAGCACACAACGAATGCTTTCTTTCCACAGTCATTTCCTACTTTTCACCTCTTTGTTCAACGGTTCAAGTCAATATTAACGTTACCGTGTCAGCAAATTTTATTTAACCCCTTCATTCGTAATTGTTGAATCGTTTCAAAGAACTTGCAATCTGAAACTTCTGTTTGTTCATTTATCTTCGTAAACGGAAACGACTCATTACCGTAACGTTATAATTGTTCCAATGATGTTACAAAGCGACGCCACGAGTTTGTACAACCGAGTGACATTACAAGTATTGTACGATAGTTAAATCTGTGGTAATGACTTTACAAATGGCAGATACGAGGGAAGTATGGGAACCCGTCAAAGAAGTCTAATTTTCTGCTACATGTATTCGTAAAATTATACGTTCTGCTGATGGGTGCAGCATGTTGTAACTGAAAGTTTAAATGCCGAGGTCTGGACAGAAGTGAATGATATCCAACTTTCCTTTTAAACAAATTTTCTTATTTATTAGAAATTAGAAATTAATAAACCTGAGCCTACAAATAGAAATTTAATCGTCTTTTCGTAGTATATTTCGCTTCGTTCGTTGTTGGAAATCATTATCCAGATAAGAACCCTAGTAAAATATTGTATACACATTCATATAATATTAAAAAGAGATTCAATCCTTTTTTAATATTCAAATATACATACAATATTTATTTTATTACGAGAAAAATATGTTTTTCTGAATATTAAATGAATCTTTATTCCATATTAGAAATAGAATATTTCTTCCTAATATACAGATAATATTTATTTCATATTACGAAAAAAATATTTTTTCCTTGTTATAAAATGAATCTTGTCTTCGACGTAGATCGTTTGGTAAAAGTAATTTTAGCGATCGAACTAAACACCGTTTGGTCTCATTTAGGGAATGGAACGTTTCGGGAAGCACACGAACCCCGACATAACCGAAAATAACTTTGTCGCGACGAGGGAAGTCGAATCGAGACTTCGACGCGTCTCCCATAAAGACAAAGTGAGATTTTTGTAACTTGTACGAGCTTACCCATACACTCTTGTCGCGAGGAGCCAAAAACCGTAGTTCTTTCGCCGTCGAACTTACTTCCCCGAGTTACCCAAGATTCTTGCAACTTTCCGGGCGGGATAAAACGATCTATGGGGGTTACGAATTCCGAATTTCCTTCCCGACTTTGCAGAAATCTCGCCCAGCCAAAAAGTCGTCAAACTTTTTATTGATATTTACTATCGCCACTCGGGATTTGTTCCTTTCGAGCTATTGAAAAAGGAAATCGCGTATAATAATTCCATGATCAACCCTCGTAATAATCTGTGTATTTAACAATTTTACCACTGGGATGAGAATATTCTTTTAACTGATTTTGCAGGTTCGGGATCACCCTCGTGAAAATGAGGGTCGACCAGATCGGGCTTCTTCTTTGGAAGAACTACATCGTCCGGAAACGACAACCGGTAATTACTTAACGATTGAAAATCATTTTCTGGAGGTCTGAGGAAGCGTTGTAAGAGACGTGTACGAACTTGAATGTTTAGGGGATATTGGCTCTGGTGTTCGTATGGCCCGTGGTCGTGTTCATGATCCTCTACACGATCCGCGACAATGTGGACCCGAAGTACTATCCTACTTGCCAATTTCCTGCGAGGTCGATGCCGCGAAACGGTCTGCTTCCATTCGTTCAGAGTTTCATTTGCAGCCTCGGAAACCCGTGCGATCCCCTCACGGAATACGAAGAGGTTCCTTCTTACGGGAACGCCACGTTAGTCCAAAAAAAAGAACACACGACACGTTCGACATTTTTATTTCTCGTTTGCGGTTCTACGTCGATTCTACTAGAAACCGAGTATCTCTCGATATTAAATTTTAATGTTCGTTGCAAATCATTCGGTAAACTCTTCGATGCGGATCAAACTGCAAACGAGTCAATAGCATAAATAATACTGAAATAAACGTAAACATCTATTAGTAAAATTAGGGTTGCAAATAAATTTTCGCGACAGTCTAGGTCCGCTGGTCATCGAGTTACAACCGATGCTCGGCAACGAGACGATCCTCTCCGCGGTGAAAACCATGCCCAACAGTATCCAGCTGCTAAAATCGATGGCTCAGATACTCACCAAGCCGGAGATCAAGGCACTTTTCGGTACGCGTGTACGAACTGGACCCACAACACGGAGAACAATCATTTTAATCGTCGAATTCGTTGCGTAGATCGCGGTATCCGGCTGGGCGATCTCTTCAACGATCACGACGCGATCAAGAGCCTCCTAAAGCGGCAGATGCCGTACGCTCGCGAGGGATTGATCGACGAGCTGTTCGAGTCGTCCATAAAATTGCTATACGTTAGTATCGTCGAGTAAAAGAAGCCAAACGACCGATAAATGCTCCGGCGATTTAATTGTTTCTGATTATTCGCGATAGCTGATCGAGACGTTCGGCTCGTCCAACATCGACGGCGTGATATGCTCGCCGGAGAGCCTGAAGAAGTACCTGATACTGCCCAGGGAGGAGGACTATGTCGAGATCTCGAAGATACTCTGCGGAATCGACTCGGGAATGATACCCGGGATCCTCGAGAACTTGTCCAAGCATCTGGACTTCTCCGGTTTGCTGGAGATGGTCGATCGCGTAATGGCGAAGTTTCGCGACTACGATTTCTTCAAGGACTTGAAACGAGCGGTCGAAACGATCTTGGATCTGCAAATCGTGGAGGACCACGTACCGAAGTACTTAAAGCTGCGCGAATGGTTGCCGAAGATGATAATGGTCTTCAAGAACGTCACGTTCAAGGAGATCGATCTCACGTTGTGAGTACACGTTTGGAAAACGATCTCTCGAGCGTGTCGTGATATGTAACGATCATTTTTTACGAATCTGTCCCCAGCGTGGACAAGGCGCTGACAGTTTTGGACACGGTGTTCTCGAGCGATCGCGATTGGCCGATCGTGCGACAGGCATTCTTGAGGCTGAACAAATTATTGGAGCTGGTGAAAGGGATGATTGGGAATCGAGAAACTTCAGCTTCCGACGATTTTTTTTCGATAATGGACAGATTAAAGAGCCCCATGGATCACCTGTTCTCCAATATTGGTATCGACGAGAATCTCACCCAAATTTTGGATCTGAGCTTCGCGATTCTGCAGAGCGAAGCGAAGCTCGCTAAGACGATCATCGATCGTCACAAGGATGAGATCCAGCTGTGAGCTTCTTAAATAACACGATAGATAGTCAACGAAACGATTCTACTAATTTTGTTTGCAGCCCGCCTGAAATTTTGGACGGACTGAGGAACTTTTTCTCGAAGAACATCCTGGACTCTTTGAGTTACGCGTTCGCCTTCGCGCAGAGCATCGTCAGAATGGCCCACCACGCGGCCATCATCAACGACGACCTGGAAAACAGGCTTTACAACGTCTCCATGAATCACAGAGCAACGGTGGAACAATTGTTGAAGTTCGATCCGAACGTTTATCGAACGCTACTGCGATCGTTTTCCAGATTAAGCTTCGTCGAGGTTGATAATCGTTGTATTCCATATCACAGTTCGATCCTCGTTCGATGTTCAGAGAAATGTAACTCGTCTTTCAGAAATTCGTGAACGAATCGAGGCCGGAGGTGTACTTTTGCCGGAACGACACGTTGGACGAGATTTTCGAACATTTCAAAGACACGAATTACGACTCGAAACAGATCAGCGATGTACTCTGCAGCGATTCCGGGAAGAAGTTCATCTCCGACGCGTACAACTGTTTGGAGCTAACGAACTTCGAGAATATCGTAAGCATCGTGTTCTATTAACGTCTCTGAAAAGGCTCGCGATTGTTCTGACGCTTTGAAAGTTAATTTCGACAGACGATGGACACCTTTGGCGCAACCGTCAGCATGGCGTTCAGCCATCCGGTCGCGGTCGAAAAAGCGAATCTAACGTCGATCGTGAGGAGCGTGAAAGGATTCGTGTCGTACCTGACCTCACCGACCTTACCGGGTCCCGACTGGTCGGTTTTTAAGGTCAACGACAAGTGGATGAGAGCTTTCGAGGAAACTCAATCCCAAGGAAGACTGGACGTGTGAGCGTTTGTCGATCGTCGAACGTTTCTATTATCGAGGAGCTTATAAAACAAGAGAGCTAACAGTTTCCTTTTCGCGTTCTGTGCAGCCTGGGAATCCATTTGAGCATAGTGAAGAAGTTGGTCTGCTGCGGTTTCATGTTTCACGTGATCAAGGGCGATCTGATGAAAGTAGATCTGCTGGGCAGGCTGATCCTGCAGGATCTACGAACGGTGGACAACGACTGGGTCGATCAAGTCAGGGAACACAAAACGGAGCTGATCGAGGCGTTCTACTTGACCGCGACGGACAGGGATAAGGTCGGTGAACGATAGCGCGATAGAGATTTATTATTCAAGGACCTCCGCTGTCGCGAAACACGGGAAGCTGTCTTTTTATCACGGACACGGTACATCTTTATCCGCAGGTTTTGAAAATTTTAGAGTACGAGAATTTCACCAGAAGCTACTGCACGGTACCGAGTCCGCCGGCTTTATTAAATTTTCCAAAGCGCTCGAACGACACTCTGTTGAAAGCTCTGGTCTGTCGTCTCGCGGGGTCGGTGCGGAGCAAGCTGGATTACAACTTGAAGGGGGCGAAAAGACCGACGGGGAACGACTTCGACTGGACGAGATTCAACGCGCAGACGATCGATATTTATCGGTACATCGATGCTTTGATGCATCAGAAGGATACGTACGATAGTTTGGCGAATTTGGAGAAACTGAAGAGAAACTTCAGCGCCTCTTGGACCACCGATCTTGCGGTGGAGGATGCTTTCCAGATCAGGTAAGCGAACAATGGAAACAATTTGTTTGTTCTAAAGGATAGATTCTGTACAGTACAGCGCCAGGTTTTGGCCAAACTGTAATCTGATTGCTCCAATTGCGACGATTAAACAGTTGCTACGTGCTTTAAAGATTTACGATTATAGTTACGCCGCAATTAGGTAGTAACAGTGCGTGATTACAGCGCAATTATGATGATTGCGTGTAATAGCGTGGTGGCGAATGTAACCACGTTACATTTCGCCTAATTCCGGTGTACACGTTTTAAATGTACGAGGATACAAGAAACTTAATTATCGTTATGTTGTATTTCTATCGTGTTCCTTTTAGCAACATGTATAATTTTCCACCGTTTATCGTATCTATTATGCACCTCGAGTCATAAGGCAGGGAACCGAAATGTCGTTTGAATAATGTATTTGCTCGTAAATGATCCCCGTCACGTATCGATAAGAAAAGTTCCTGGAATATTCACGCGTTCATCTTTATTTTAAGAGCAATCATAATTAAAGACTTGTAACATTAATTGCCGCTATAATTGTGTTATTCTGCTTCTGCACGTGGCTGCCTTCTTTTCCGGTAATCGCCACGTATAACCTTTGTAAAACCTTTTATCGCTATACTGCTGGTTCTCTTTCATTTATCCACCCTTTAACCTGCTGGTACTTTTGCCGTACTTTTCAGCGTAGTTGGTTTAATGAAATAATTTAGTTTAATCTTGTGTAGAGTTTTAGTTTTAATTTTACTTTCAGCCCCCTTCAATCTCTTGTAAATTAGATTTAACAGCGGCACGTCGCTGGAGCTCGAATATAATAGAAAATTCAGATTTGGAGCAAAATGGACGGCCTGGTAGACCGTTTCCGCGCGTAAATAAATGTCGTTATTATCCCTTTAGCGACACGTTGTGTCTTTTTGCAGTGTAGGTCTGATCTGCAAGTTCTTCAGCGTGATGGAGAGCCCCCTGTTCAGCATACAAGAGAGAAACGGATGGAAGAACATGCACGCGATCGGCTGGGCGACGTCCGCGGTGTTCTACAAGGTCGAGAAGATCGTCGATCAGATCCAGAAGAACGATCACGTCGCCAGGCTACCGGAAATACTGACGGACATGCCGCAGACGGAAATAATCCTCAGCGCCCTCCTCAGGAATCTGTCACCGTTGATCCTCGACGTGGCGGACCTTATCACCATGAAACCGGTTCACCTCGTTCGTTTCCCCGGTTTTCTTTCGATCCGACCGAAATTACGTTCGGCCCCGCCGTATTCCTTTCTCTCTCGCAACGTCTGTTACAGATATCCGTCCTGGACGATTACAAATCTCGGGAGGAACAATGGCCCTGCGTACAAAGGGAAAGCGTCGGTTCCGCGATGGAATTGCGAAACGGCACCCGTGAAATAGTACGAGAGATAGAAAGAATCTCTTGCAATCCGGCTTTGTTTATCCGAGAATGGAAGAGGCAGCCGTTGTTAATCAACGTGACGCATATCGTGAGTAGTTTTACTTCCGTTTAGAAAATACGGCCACGTTATCCGCGCCGAAAATCAGTTCCAGGACGACGTCAGGGTACAACTGCCACCGTTCGATTGGATCCACGGTTACGCGAGATTTCGCCGCGTGGTCAAGAAGCTGGACAACCTGATCAACGACGCGAAAGACGTGGCGCTGGCGGAGGAGCCGAATTTTTGGGAAAATCTCGAGTCGCTGGCGCCCGAAGTGAAAAGTGTGTTCCGGGAGAGATGGTCCGACGTTAAGAACGACGTGAGGTAATTTTATTTATTCGTCTCTTATGTTTTCTCTCCCGACATGGTATTCTTTGAGGTTTGTATGCTCGTTAAAACTTTTACCAAGTATAATTACATAAATGAATGTTTATTCGATAATAAATACGCCACGGTGAATCAAACGGGATTATTGATATTGTCACGCGGAGGACGCGGAATGAAGAGACGACATTTTGTAGAAATATTCTCTTCTACGTCGATTTGGAGCTCGACAAGACCGTGGCAGCGTTCCAAAGCAATCTCTCGGCCAGCGAAATCTGGGATACGAAGATCGTCATTAAGGATCGCGTTCTCATCCTGTCGAAATTCATCGCCCACGTTGTATACAAGTCGACGAAAGTCGCGACCGATATTCTGTTCGACAGTGAGTATTCGAACGATCGTTAAAAATTTGTTTTTTGTTACGTGGAACGCTATTTTCCAATTCAGGATCGATAAATAATGGCACGACGTACATCAACTGGCTGTCCTTGTTGGGATTCAATGGCGGAACACCCGTGGCGATTTATTACAATCGATTACCGTACGTCTTGGCCACGTTAGCGACCGGATTATCGGACCCCGACGTGGACAAACGAATCGTCGATTCGCTCGACAACAAGACCGCCGTCACCTGTTCGCAATTGTTCGAATGGTGGTCCGACTCCCTCGTCGGTCTCACTCGCAACGAGTACAGAAGCTTGAAGAACTTCACCTGTGACCTCGATCCCGACAATTTCAACGCCTACACCGACTTGTACATGTCCGAGAAGTCCGTTTGGAGGAAGCCTGTCGATAAATACCGATCGTTCTTGATGACGTCGATCGGTGACGTCTACGATCTCGCGAAACTCATCAAAAACATCACTCAGAGTAACGCGACGATCGACGTACCGTTCTCGAGGACCTATTTGCAGAATCTGCTCCGGAAACTGAGAGGCAGCTTGATGGATTACGATAAAACAAAGTCAATTTACAAGGTAATTACAAGAAAATAGTCGAAAAACCAGCGTAGGCCTACAAAGAAAGGATCACAGATTACCGATTCGTTTTTTTCCAGCAGCCCTACGAGTGGACGAATTACCGACTGGTAGTGGAGGGTGTCTCCGAAGCACTGATCCACGTTGCAACCGCTTTAAAAAATATCAAAGTGCAGAACGATCGCGTGAACGTGTGGGATTTCGTGGAGAGCGGCGACGCGCGTGAGTTATTGAAGATCCTCGACGCTCATCCCGAGGAAACGATCGCTTTAGGTGCTAGCCTAATCACGGTCGACGGGACGGCGAACGCTTTCTTGCCCTACGGAGACATAAGACGTACCATGTGCAATTTTCGCTTCGATTCGAGCTACTGGTCCACCCCGAACAGGACGCGATTCATAAACGAGATATGCTCGTTCGATCCGTACCAGTTGCTGAGGACCATCACCAGCGAAGAGTATTACGTGAGTGGGAATTAACTACGCTCGATAATTTCCTATTTCCAGTTTTTATATATGTATAAAAAAAAATGCCTGGACAGCTCGTCGTGTCAGGACGAAGATCCGCATTGACGAAATCGACGCCGTTGAGCTCGTCTCTGGCCAGGCTGGCCGACACGGCGTTGAATCTATCGTCGACGGCGCCGCGTTTGACCGTCAGATCGAAGATCTTCGACTCGACCACCTGGAGGAACCTCTCCAACGAAACGTTGTCGCTCCTACGCAGAACCGAGCAGGTCTGGGCACGTAGATGGCAATTGATCAGAATATACCAGCTTATGGACGCCACGATCGATCTGCTGGCCGGCGGTGACGTGTGGCAAAAGATCAGGATCATCTACGAGAACTCCAAGATGAAACCTATCCTAACTCTGATAGAGGACATGCCGAACATCGCCGTCAGCGTCGCCGACACCTTCGTACGAACGGACAGATTGACCGATTTCGTGGTGAAACTCGCGCTGGGCAAAGCACACCCCTGCGACGTGGACAAATATTTGATCGTGCCCAGCTTCGTCAGGAAGAAGGTCCTTTTGTCGAGTATCACAAACTTTTGCCAGAAGTTCGTTCTCACCGACAGAGAGCTGACGTGGATCGATGTATTGCACCTAGACGCCAAGTACGAGGTAATTGCATTAATCTTTTTCTGGCAACGTCTCGCCTGGGCGTTGATGATTACATTTCGAGCAAATTTTTTAAGGAGAACATAGCGTCGCGGAACACGTCCTCGGAATATAACGACGCCTACTTGGAGGAAAGATTGGATCACATTCGGTCGACGATCATTCGAGTGGCGTCGGACGGATTCAAGGAGCCAAAGATTCCTACGTGGTGGACGTCGTTCAAGGAGGGCACTTACAAAGACTTTTTGTCCCAGTACGAGAAAGAGGTAACGTCCGACGCAGCACACTCTCAGCGTATGTCTGATAACATTTCGGAATTATTTCAGGACTCGAGAGCTCTCGCACATTCGGTGGTGGAAAAACTCTCGACGATAGCGAGGGACGTTCTAAATTCTGCCGCGAATTCCGAGTAAGTTGTTCGCGTTAGCATCCATGGAATTTGTTGATAGAAATTGTCTTTTATCCATCTCAGAGACTGCCCCTGGTGCTCCACGTTCCTCTTCGAGGTCCTCGATTCTCAGCTGAAGAACCATCAGCTTTACTTGAAGCTCCTCTGCCAGCTGAATCGATTGCACGTATCGGAAATTCATGGCATTCTGATGCGCGATTTTCGCTGGAATGAAACTGTCAGCATGGTGAGGGATACCTACCAATCGCGTTCGTTCGCAATTCCTATGCGATTTTTAACGCCTTACAGATCCAGAATTACAAGTCGCTGAACGTTAAACGGACCAGGGACGAATTTGTCACCGGTGTCGAGAAGATCCTGCACCAGGTGGTCGACATCATAGTAAATTTCCAGAACGAGACCTACAGCGATAGGATTCAACAGTGCTACCACAAGTTCTTCGGACGACCCGCCTTCTCCAGACCCGGACTGTAAGCACTCGAGTCTTCCAAAGAATTTCAACTGTGTTTTCGATCCTTTGGACGTAGATTAGCTCTAAGAAATTATTTCGATCAAGGTACGTGTCCGTGGTGCTCGCGATATTGGATTCCCTGCAGAGCAACGTGTTCATCCTGGACACCGCGAGGAACCACAGGAACATAGAGGCCCTGACCGTAATGGCGGAGAACTACGTACCGATCTGGAAGTTGGTTCGAGACGTGGTGAGGGCGTCGGACGTCGACGACATCGAGACGTTCTTGCCCGGCGCGATGATTAACGTGAACGCGGTCATGAACGATAGAAACGGTTCCCTGTGCCGGACGAAGCTCGAGTGTCGGAACGCCACGGTTTTGTACGATCGTTTGAGCTCCAAGAGGATGGGAAAAATGTTCCAGTACGATCCAAAAGCGACCGGTTACCCTTCGTTGGTCGAAATTGCCGAACGATTGTCGCGTAGCTTGGATCTAGATCGCATAGATCGCGAGCTGAAGGGCTGGCGGATGGACTCCGCGTGGAACTTGACCTGGCTGAAGGAGATCCTGAGACACATATCCGTGGTGATCGGAGAGAGCGGCGATCTGCTCGACGTGGTCAGTAAAATAGACTTCGAGAACGTCTCCGACGCCCTGGGTGTTCCAGACATCGTCGACGGGGTGGTCAATATCCTGAAGGACAAGATCGTGGACAAGCTTTTCGACGGGTAAGGGAGTCATTCTCGAAATTTAGAACGTTGTGTATAAAAGGAACCTAATCCTGCAGAATGAAGGAAGTCGTGGAGGACGTGAAGCCGTTCATAGCCGACAAAGAAGTGTTGGACGATCTCTACAGAATAATAGACGCGCTGGAGTCGATGGACATCTTCAAGAACTTGGGTCTACTCAACATCAAATGTAGGATTCCGTGGCTAGTTTACGTCCGGTCGAAAGAATCGCGTTTGATCCTTGTGTTTTCAGACGTCATCAGAGACATGTTCGACAACTGGGACGTGGTGAGCAGGTACTTGGTGGAGAAGGTCGGGGTCTCGAACGACGTCGCGTCGATGTTGAGCCAGGCGAAGATAGACATGATCTCCGTGTTCATGAAGGAAAGAAACGCTCTCAGCTTGAAGGACACCATTTGTTCGCCGACCAAGCTCAGCGAGATGTTGAGCTTCAACGGCGGTCGGATCACCGCCGAAGAAGTCAGCTCCGCCATTTGTCAACTGGAGGACTCGCAAACGCAGAACGTGACGATCGCGCTCATCAAGCACTTGAACTTTGATTATATTTTTAAAACTGTGAGTAGTAGGATCAGCGATCAAATTGATTTAGATAACATTGGTGATCTTTGTTGGTGCAGTTAATGAGCGCGAACGTGAAGAACATAATGGCCAACGCGAACTTGACCGAGGCGGAGGGTAAGATGGTGTTGGATAGCCTTGGAGTGGCTGCAGAATTGATACCATTCTTCAGGGATCGACTCGCCTCGAACATGCCAGCGGCGGAAGCTTTGCAAACAAACTCGAAAGAAGAGACGGACCAACCAGTCTCCAGTAAGTCGACACGAAATCGAATTTAGATGTTAGACTTAGAAACATTTGAATGCATTTCGCAGCTTCGAGGTTCCTTCAGGACTCTAGCGAAATGCTGTGTGGCCAGGCCATGGTAACCGACAACAGCGACCTGTACAAAATCATCTCGAAAATCGAGGACAACAGCAAAGAGTCCGACCAGGCGGAGCTCGATTCTTTGCCATGTACGTACGAACGATGTTTGATTAATTTATTTGTCGCGAAACGCGAATAAAAATGGGGCTATTCGTTGCAGCTGATTTCTGCAGGGACACTTACAAAAGCATGATCGCTATGGGAGGCGGGAAGATTATATGGTCTTACGTTAAACCCTTGTTGCGCGGTCAGATCCTTTACGCCCCGAACACGACAGCCATAAACAAAGTTATGACACTGGCGAACGGTACGTTCGCGGAAATGGAGAACTTCGGCACGCTGATGGACAGTTTCGAGAAGACTCTCACGTCGTTGGTGAACCTGTCGGAAATGAGCGACAGCCTGAAAGATCTGCAAGAAATGATGTCCTCGGACGTTATGAAGATCGCGATCAAGTCGTTCGGTGATGGAAATTTCGAGAGCGGTGGGTCTCTGAATAGCTACGATTCGACGAGCTTTTTCTAGACGTTTACTCGTTGTTGCAGGAAGCTTCACCGATATGAATCTCAGCGAGATCTCGTGGCGACTGAAGAAGTCGAAACGTTTAATCGGGATGATCGGTATGCTGAACGATTTATTGGGGTGCGTGCTGTTGGATCGGATCCGAGGATTTCGCAGCGAGGACGAAATGGAGGCGGAGGCTAGAGTCCTGATGGAGACGCGAGAGTTTTTAGCCGGTGTTGTGTTCCTGGAAGATTCCGGAAGATCAAGAAGATCGCTGGAGCACGAACTGCCCCAGGACGTGGTGTACAAGATTCGCATGGACATCGACTACGTGCAGTCCACGAAGAGATTGAAAAACCAATTTTGGATCCCCGGCCCGGAGAGCAGCTTCATCGAGCATCTCAGGTACCTCAGAGGATTCGTGCAACTTCAGGACTCTGTCGATCGAGCTATCATCAAGATGAAGAGCCACAGAGACCAGGACTGGCAGACTCTGACGCAACAGATGCCGTATCCCTGTTGGAAGGACGTACCGTGAGCGTTTAATTCTAATCGTTGCCATTCATTCGCGGAACTCGAATCTGAGAAGAACGATGTTGCAGTTTTCAGACCACTCTTTACGAGTCCCAGGGCATCCAAGTATGCTTCTTCTTCGCGCTGATGATGTGCGTGGGGGCGGCGGTCAGACACATGGTTTGGGAGAGAGAATCGCAGAACGCCATGGTACAGAAACAATTTCTAAACAACGATATCGTTCAATTTAAAGTTCCATCTGTCTTCAGGTAATGAGCGTGATGGGATTGAAACCATGGAGGAACACCATGGCCTGGTTCATCACCACGTTCGTGGAGCTGGTGGTAATAATGCTCTCCATCGCCCTGGTTCTTCTCGGGGGAAAGATCCTACCAAAGTCCGATCCCTCGTTGGTTCTGATCATGATGCTCGATTACTCTTTCTCCGTCGTGACCTTCTGGTGAGACAACGTTTTACGAATCTCCCGTATTCCGTACACGCTTCCACGTATTAAAGGACGCGAATAAATTTCCAGCTACATGATCTCGACGGTGTGCAGCTCGGCGAGCTTGGCTGCGATTACCACCGTGGTAATGTTTTTGCTGACATTCATGCCGTACATCATTGTCATTGCTATGGAAGCCGTTATAGGTCTCGGTTATAAGCTTCTCATCGTAAGTTATCGTTTCGCCGCCGCAACAGCGTTTCTGTGATACATAACGCGTTCGAACAATTCATTCCCGCAAACTGCGAGCGTCGCGATAACATGTTCTTTTGCTCGATTTATCCTTCGAGTAGCGGAACAATTTATTATTCGCTTCCGGTTCGCGGTGCCACGGGATCCAACGGGACTGATCGATGGAAAAATTTCCAGTGTCTCAGTATGTCGACCAGCTTCTGTTACGGTTGCTTGTACGCGGCCAGAAAGGAGGTACAAGGGATTGGTCTGACGTGGGGAGCCATGTGGGAGGAATCCAGCCCCGGAGACTCGATGTCCTTGGGCCTAGTGCTCCTGATGATCGCCCTGGACGGTTGTATTTACGCCCTGATCGGGTATCTCATCGCCAGATACACCAATTCAGGTAGAAACTTGCCAACGCTTCTCGTTTTCCGTCAGGTACTCTCGGATCTCTGTACAATCGATCTTTCAAACGGTGGAGGTGTCACGATCTGCAGAATTTTGTGCAATTCTCTATTCTCACGTTTATGTTTCGTGTTTTCCCGAAAATTCGTACGATTCCTTGCCAAATTTAATAATATTCTAATCTCACCGTCGCGTCTTTGGTGCTGGTGAACCGGACTCTAATCTCTGCGTGTGTACTCCTTCGTACGATTACTGTTTTGTCGTTAACACGCAGCTGAAATTGCACGATACAACCGGACGGTGATGAAAAATGACGTACAACGATATCTATGTATTTACGAAACAGTCCAGCTCTAATTTCCCTCCGTTACACGCCGGAGAATTTCATCAGGAATTCTTGAGCACGGTCCCGAATTGCATTCTCGAGTTTTCTTAGCAAATTTCACGGCACCCTCTGCGCGTTGATGACGCGGTAAACGCGAAAGAGGGCAAAGAGAACGGAGCGACGATAATGCATTCACGCTCGCAGCGTCGTAAATTTCCGCGGAAAATTTCACGGGAGCGTTTCGCGTGTAACCGCGACCGATGCTACGGAGAAAAGCCAAAGGGGACGCCGGGTGTCGAAGCGAAACGATCGTGCACCGTGTAACCCCCCCCCAAAAAAAGAAATCGACGACATTTTTTTTTTTTTTTACAAACGGACGAGCATTGGCCAATAATTTTCCAGGCAGGGGCTTTCACGATTTGAGGTCCCGTAGCTTATGGTGGGCCAACACGTGTTCTCTCTATGGCAGGCCGAGCTACCTCGCCTTCGTCAACAACCTCTATTTCACTAACGACGTTCTCCACCCCCCAACCACTTACCAAGGTATCGCACTCGGCTTTTTCGCTCTTGCACGATATTTCACCCTCTCTGGCTTCAATTTCTATACTCCATTTTGTCCCGGCTTCGCCCTACACGGTCCAAACGCTCGAATACCTCTTGTCCCGATCAAAATTTCATAACAATTTATAGATCCACGGGGTAGATTCTACTTCCGTCTCTGGATCGCTGGAAATACGTCAAAATTCCGTTCGACGAGTGTTCAGTGTCCGATAGAATCCACCCCCTATAGTACAGACATTTTTCTAACCCCCTGTACGTAGTCACGTACGGTAAGACGTAACGAGATTTAATTTAATCTGCATAAACGTTATACGTTCGTCCGTTTCGTAAAATTTGCACGGGAAGGAGCTATTCGAAATGTTTGGATCGTGCCCCGGGTATGCAAATGTTTGTTGTTGCTTCCCCTCCGTGAGAACGAGAATTCGCGCGCGAAACGCCTTAATTTATTCAATGTTTCGGTCCGGTCGTATCGGGAAACGGGTGTTTCCGGGACATTCCTCTCGATGGTTTGCATGCGCGGGTTTCCTTCCTAGATTTTAACGTAAACCTTCGAAACGCGCAACAATTTAAGACGTTCTGTTTTATCGCGCCGCGTTCGCCCCGTTCCTTCGTAGTTTTCTATGCAAAGACGCGAAATATAAATTGCGGCCCCGGCGTTGCATGCGAATAGCCGGTTCCCTTTTCTCGCGAGGACTCGTCACGAGGCGAACCAGGTTTAAATTTATCCAAAGCGCATGATTTTATGCCGAATACTGTTTTTAACACGCTTCGACGAGGACACGACAAGCTGTACCGAGGGGTAAGAGCTTGCTTCTCCGTTTCGAACAACTCTCAGCTCGAACCCGATTTCCCCGTTCTAAGATACGCAATATTTTCTGCGGTGCGCGATATACAGACGAGCAGAGCGACGTCAGCAGCTTGATAGTGAACGAGAAACAGACTGGAGTCAGGTTCGAAGGCGTCAGGAAGGTTTACAACACCGATCAGGGCGAAGTGGTGGCCGTGGACGATTTTAATCTCAAGCTCTGCGAGGGGGAAGTGACCAGTCTTCTCGGGAGAAACGGGGCTGGGAAGACCACCATCATGTGCGTACAATATTTCAATTTTTTAAGCCTTTTTTAAAAGGAAAATCGTTGATCCTGTTTACTATCGCGGTAACAACGATTAGTTAAGGGGTGAAACGAGCGATTAGCGCCTTAAACTCGGAGCGTGTCGCTTAGGGAAGTTGTAACCCATTCCCTTTAACGCGAGCAAACGGATTCCGGGATTTCCAAGCCGTGAGCTCGGCGAATCCGGATTCATTCTCGTCTTTTGAGTGTGTACTTTCGTTTCAGCAAGATGCTGACGGGGATGCTGGCTCCGACCACCGGTGAGATTTGTTTGATCGGTGAAGAGGACTGCAAACCTGACATAGGGGTCTGCCCTCAGGATAACGTGCTCATCAGTACTTTGACGCCCAGGGAACATATGATCTTTTACGCGAAACTCAAGAGGCCCAAAGACGACGCCGATATGCAACGAAACGTGAACGAGTAAAATTTTATTTCATTTCCTTTCCACGAATATCCACCGAGAAGCTTCTGTCTTTTGGCTTGATTAGCACAACAAACAAATCAAATATAACACTTTGAAGCAACTATTTGCAGAACCTTACCCCCCATTTACTCCTCAGGATTATTCTATCCTGTTTAGTACAGATCATCCCCCATATTAGTTGAATTTTAGAAAACCCCCTTTCCCAAATTTCGACCCACCCTTAAGGATTCCCCGATCCTCAGGATTAATCTACCTTATTTAGTACAGATCATCCCCCATATTCGTTGAATTTTAGAAAACCCCCTTTCCCAAATTTCGACCCACCCCCTTAAGGATTCTCCGATCCTCAGGATTAATCTACCTTATTCAGTACAGATCATCCCCCATATTCGTTGAATTTTAGAAACCCCCCTTTCCCAAATTTCGACCCACCCTTAAGGATTCTCCGATCCTCAGGATTAATCTACCTTATTTAGTACAGATCATCCCCCATATTCGTTGAATTTTAGAAAACCCCCTTTCCCAAATTTCGACCCACCCCCTTAAGGATTCTCCGATCCTCAGGATTAATCTACCTTATTCAGTACAGATCATCCCCCATATTCGTTGAATTTTAGAAAACCCCCTTTTCCATATTTCGACCCACCCCTAAGGATTCTCCGATCCTCAGGATGCTGACGTCCCTGGAGTTGGGTAAACAGGAGCACGAGCCGGTGTACCGTCTATCGGGTGGTACGAAGAGAAGGCTCTGCGTGGCTCTGGCGTTTCTAGGCTCGCCGAAATTGGTGATCCTGGACGAGCCAGGCGCGGGGGTGGACCCAGCGGCGAGGCGCAGGATCTGGCGGCTGATCGATCATCACAGAATCGGTAGGACCGTGATTCTCTCTACCCATCATCTGGACGAGGCTGACATGCTGAGCGACACGGTGGTCGTGATGCACAAGGGGAAGATACTCTGCACGGGATCCCCGTTGTCCTTGAAGATGATGCACGGTCGCGGGTACAGACTCCTGGTGACCTTTCCCAGCGAACGAGACGGGAACTCGGACTCGATCGAGAGGAAGAAGTTGGAGACTCTGAAGAATGTGATCGAAGAGGCGGTGTCCAACGCGTGGACCAACGAAATCACTGGCACGGAGGTGGCCGTTACGCTTCCGTTTCAGGGGAAGAACGGTATCAACAACAAGTAAGATCATCTACATTAAATTAAAATAGAACTAGAATAAAACAGATCTTAAACTTTTTAAATTGTTTAGCATCGCGCAAGCAGCGAAGGCGTTGGAAGACAGTCGAAAGATCCTAGGTTATTCCCACTTTTCCTTGGAATGCGACAGCCTGGAAAGAGTCTTCCTGGACCTCTGTTCTCGCGCTGATAGCGGATCGTCGGTTATCAGAGCCAGCCAGGACAGCGTCGCGAGCGTCGGCAGCGTCGAGCACGTGGGTACGCGAATCACACCGTGGAAAGAACTTTATTTAAAATCTATCATCTTAATGGACGAGCCTGGACGTTTCGCAGGTCTATCGATGCCCGACGACGTTGATTTGATCGACGTTGAACCCTCTTTAAACCCGTCCCCCGGTAAACAGGCCAAGGCCCTGCTGAAGAAAAGGGTATGGCACTTCAGGAAAGATTGGATGACATTTTTCGCGGGTCTCTTCCTGCCTACGGTGTTCGTAGCGGTCGCCATGGGATTCTCTTTGATAAGACCACCATCCGGAGACGAGCCAGCGTTGCCTCTCACACCAAAACTTTACGACACTCATCTAACATATTTCTACAGGTAATTGGATCGTTTGGTGGTCGTTGGATGCCATCGAAATCATTTTGTGAATTTTCTACAGCATCGACAATGGCAACGACCCGTTCCTGCAACACGTGTCCTTCCAGCTACACGATCGATTCGGGGACGATTACGCTGGTGCTTGGCAGACCTTACCAAACGTACGATAATTACGGATATTGATAATTTTAAGAGAGCAGAACGCGTTAGATGAAAGAATTATTCGTGTTCGATCAGGATACCGGAACCTGCGAGTGTCTGGACGGTCAACAGACGTGTCACGGAGTGTCTCAGGCTGTCGAAGGTCTTTTGCAAGTTTTACCCGGCAGACCTACCCTCGATTGGATAGTGTCCACCCACCAGGAATACATAGAAAAGAGGTATCCTCGATGGACAAAACCTTGACGATCGTTTGAGATTTCAAGGCTCGTCGACTGGGTTTTTCTTTGTTTACAGGTACGGCGGATGGTCGCTGTCGCACACCAAGGACGAGCCATTATTCGTCGTTTGGTACAACAACAAGGGTCACCACGCCCTACCGTCGTATCTGAACGCTCTGAACGAAGCCATTCTACGGGCATCCGGCGTCCAGGGGCATCTAACAACGCTCAATCATCCGTTGAGGTTATCCAGCGATCAGTTGAATCGAACAACTCTGTAAGTTCTGATCTACAGTCTCGATAAAACAAAGCACACAGGTGCCAATCGCGTGCAAACTAGCTCGTTGCTTTCAATTTCAAGTCGAAAACATTCGTAATTCTTCTCAAAAGTTTGTACAGTCGATAGGAGAGCGGAGTGAATTTTTAGTCGACGTTAAAAAGCGCGGAAGACGAAGCGGGAAGACCTTCCGTTTGCACCCGCTGTTCCGTTTTATTGTAATAAGCGCGATCCAATTACCCGGGTCAGATATTAACATTCGCGGGCGATCTTATCGCGCTGGAAAATCTGCGAAACAAAATCGCGCGTGTTGCGTTTACTTTTAATTAACCCGGCCGTGCCCGAGCGATCGCGACATCGTTCGTTCGAATTGGACGCCGCTGGTTCCATTACCGAAACCTTGTTCGTTCTGTACGATTTCGCGTGCATTCCCCGTTCCATTTTAATAATAACAATCTCTGCAACGCCAAGGAAAATATATCGGGATCCGTACGGTTTATACAAAGCGTTTCCACCGTGCTGGGGTTCATTCTTCGAGGGAATATAAATTGAAAACGCGGAATAAAATTGTTTCTATCGTTAGATAATTGAATGAATCTATTAAAGAGTGTTAAACTTGAGTTTCAGGCTACCTACGCGTTCCTAATTTTTTCCGTGAATAACCTAACCCAGAATAATCCAAATTTTAATAAAATATTCGTAGGTTACAGCACGTGGCGGACGTCGGCGTGGCCCTGGTCCTTTTAATAGCGTTCAGTTTGGTGGCCGCTCAGGGCTCGAAGGAATTGGTGCGTGAACGTCTGTCGGAAGAAAAGAGGATCCTCTTCTTGGCCGGAGTCCATCCTGTCACCTACTGGACGACCGCGTTAATCTGGGATCTATTCGTGAGTGGACGAAACGAGAATAGGAATAAAGATCGCGTGCCAATTTGAATTCGACCTCGATCTTCCAGGTGTTTGTCCTGTCCATCTTCATGGCTGTGATTGTTTTCGAGATCTTTGGGCTACCAGCGTACGTGGCCAGGGACAATCTACCAGGGATCTGCCTCTTGCTCTTCCTGTTCGCGTAAGTATCCACGATCTAACCATCGATGGTGCCCCTTGCGAACGCATACGGTTTTCACAGGTGGGCGGCGATACCGTTTTCGCACCTGATAGAAAAGGCCTTCGACGACTCGAGTCTCTCCAATATGGTGCTCTTCTGCTTGAACACGTTCATAGGCGTGGCCTCTTTGGCCACCATTCTGGTGCTCGATATTCTTGGCAAGACCAAGACGGCGGAGAACGTGAGAAACGTTTTGCACAACATTTTGTTGATATTCCCGCAATACGCTCTGGGCGACTCTTTGGTGCAAATATCGCGGAACGACATCACGGCTCAGCTGCTGGAAAAGTTCCATATGAACACCTATCAGTCGCCTCTGAGCTGGGACCTTCTGGGCCTCCATTACGTTCTCCTGGCGGTCGTGGGCAGCATTCTGTTCTCCATCAATCTGATCATCGAATGCAGAGTGTTCCCCACCTGGAGGAGACAGAGGTGTCCTCACGAGGTCGTTCAGGAGGACGACGATGTCTCGAAGGAGAGAATGAGGGTGGAGGGCGCCATGTCTGACGATGTTCTGCAAACGGTGAAGCTTCGAAAGGAATACAGAAGCGTTTACGGGACCAACGTGGCCGTGCAGAATCTCAGCATAGGCGTGCAGGCTGGCAAGTGTTTCGGACTTTTGGGCACCAACGGGGCCGGAAAGAGCACGACCTTCCGGATGCTGACCACGGAGATCATTCCCACGGCTGGCAGGATCATTCTGAAGGGCGAGCAGATCGGCTCGGGGCCACTATGCAACGGGGAAGTCGGTTATTGCCCTCAGAGCGACGGTCTAGACGGTTTTCTAAGTCCGCATCAGTGTCTGACTATTCACGGGGAAGTTTGCGGGCTGAGCAACGTTCCCAAGGTGAGAGAGAGAGTTGATTTACGTTTAAACTTTCGGCTCCTCCGGAGGACCTTTAAGTAAGTTCCCGCGGAGGATTGTATTTTTAATTATTCCGCGTTTCGAACTTGGAAACAAACGTAAAGCGACCGGAATATAAGACGGCGGGCAGCTGCGAGAATCTTTACCGCGTTCCTTTTTATTTCGCGCCTGGATTACCGACAAACTTTGCACCGCGGTGCACGCGTGATGGACGATCCTCGTCGTTTGTTTCCCCCCCTCCCCTACGAAGTTCAACGTTTGCGAAAAAACGTTTCAGACGGTCGAGTCGATGCTGAAGAGGCTCGATCTTCTCAAGTACGCGCACAAAAGGGTGAGCAGCCTCAGCGGCGGTAATAAAAGGAAATTGTGCGCCGCCCTCAGCGTAATGGCGCCCGTCGCCGTGGTTCTCATGGACGAGCCGACGAGGTAATTCCCCGAGTGAACGGAATTTTTTATTTGAATAGCGACCTGATCGGTAGGGTCCTCGTAAACGCCGGAGATCGATGATTTGAATTTTTCTCAGCGGCATGGATCCCGCCACGAAGGATCTGGTGGCCAAGACGATCAGGCGAATGACGAAGAACCAGAGCTGCGTGATCCTGACCTCGCACAGCGTGGCGGAGTGCGAGAGCTTGTGCAACAGAGTCGGTATTCTTGCCAAAGCTGGTCTTAGGTGCATAGGAACGCCGCAGCATCTCAAGCACAAGTAAGATTTCCCCGCACCTGAGTCCTCCTCGAGCGATCCAAACGAGATATTTAAATATAAGGGGAAAGTCTAGACAAACTCTGTTGCTAAAGAATAGAATAAACAAGTAGCAGAGAACGTTCTCTGGAATATACATTCCCGTTCCGTGGCTGTACGAACAGCGACTAAAAAGTTCCATTCGATGATAATACACCATTAACGATCGCAACGAAGCGTTCAATTATTCCAGCGGAGCGTGCAGCGTCCCGGTATCCGGGCAGGATTAATTTTACTCGGTGCATTTTAATGATGTTGTTTCAACTGATGGATTGTTCGTGTCGGTTTGTTCTCCCGATAGAGGCTTTCTGGCAAAATTCGTAACGCAACAATTTATTTGACGGTGTCCCGGGCGCGTGCTGCCGATTGATTTTTAATTCCATCGATCATTTCCCGAGGCACCGAACACCGGAACGCTGGTGCTACGATCACCAGGCGCGGAGGGGGCGGCCGCGTTCCATTGTATTTCAAACCGGGTAGCGCACGGCTGGAGATTACGTCCAGTTATTACAACGATGCGCGTCGTGTTACCAGCGTTGCAACGGAGCCATTGTAATGCGCGGCCGTTTAACTTCCTTTCCAGAATAACGTACAGCGCCATAAATATTTAGCCCCGCGCGCCATTTGGCTCTTCAGGAGCGACTCTTGGGAGAGGGGAGAAATGTCCCTCTTAGATCCCCCCCCCCCTGTACCGTTTTCTCTTTCCTCCGTGGCATCGAGCACGAGAGAATTTACGATATCTCGAGCACGTGTGCAACCTGGGCTACCCCGTTCTGCAATCCATCCGCATCCACCAGAGAACGTCGGATAGCGGGAACCTACTTGCAAGGGTTTTTTCTAGAGGTAAACGTCGCCGTATTCCCGGTACGTATGAAATACTCGGCGCAATATCGACCTATCCAACGATACCATCAAATTCGTTTACGACCCTCGTCGTTAAATATTTTCGCTCGACGGGGGAACTTCGGTGTCGTTTCATTGAACGTTCTCTGCCTCGACGCTGTCACAAAGTAAGTTTCGGAAGCTCCGAATGTTTTAAACTGCTTTTCTATTGGGCCGAACGAAACGAGTACTGGTATTACTTGGATATTACTCTCGAATCGGAGGGTTCTCCTTTGTTTATGTCTCGTAATATGCTCGCAGGTTCGGCGAGGGATACGTGGCGTTCCTGCGATTCCGACAACCGATCTCCTCCGAGGCCCTGAAGAAAGCCTTGACGAAGTACCTTCCCCAGGCCACGGTCTCCTCCAGGCAGGCCACCGCGGCGCGTCTGCTCCTACCGCGAAGCCAAGACATGCCGCTGAGCACCAGCTTCAACAAAGTGAAGCTCCTGGCCGAGGAACTCAAAGCCACCGACTACACGCTGACCCAAAGTTCGCTGGATCAGGTTTGTCTCGCACCAGTTTCAAAAGTTTGTCGATATTCTTCGAAGCGTCTTAACACGTCGACTGCCAAACTAAACCCCTCAAATTGTCTACGAAAACGATACTCTCTTTTTGGACATTTGGAAACAAGCATATCCACAATTTGTCGTAGAACTTATTTTTACAGCCTCTTTAAAATTTAAGTATCCTATCAAGATTTATTTGATTTAAGATCTAATCTTGAGAAATAATTTTTTCAGCGCATCAGTGTAAATTCATATCACCTATATATGACGTGGCAGTCAACGTGTTAAACACTCCGATTCGAAGATAATTTGCTCCAACAAACTCCCCCCCACATCGTCTCTGAATTACTCACAAGTTATTTTGATATCGTTACTTTCTCACCGCATTGCCAGTCACTTAAATCCAAATGGAATAAAGTTTCATTTTCGTGGACAATTTGAGGGGTTTGATGTGCCAGTCAACGCGTTGAAGTCCAGACGAAAGGAAAATTGTTTCGAGTTAGAGAGCATTTGGTCCCTCGCGTTCAAAGGACAATTCCGAACAAACGTTTCGAATCAAACGGGAATCGATGAAGTTCCGGGGGGAGGGTGGGGTGGCGTGCAATATAGTAGGTCGGTGTCTCCAGCAGATGATGCACTGCCAGTGCACGCTGCCTCCATCCGTTCGACTAAGGACGATTCTCGTTCACGTCCCACCTAGCCTGAGGAATATTAATGGACCCAGCCGTCTTACGGCTCGCACTTGTGTGTAGTCTGTATGGTTCACGAATGGATAGGAGGACCAGATCCGCGCGACGTCCGCGTCTAAGCTCGCTTAAATGCTTTCCGATTCGTCCTATCGCAACCAGGGTCCGACTGCTCCACCGCGGCGCCCTGTAAAACTGTTCCCTAATTAATTACTTCCCGGGAACAATTTAATTTCCCCGTAACGAAGTAACTTTCATCCTATTTAATCTTCTCCCTCCCCCCGCGCGAGCCGGAAGAATTTTAATGCCGCAACACCGATGGCTTCCCAGAGGCCTTCGTTAACATCCCAGCGCCTGAAGGATTACGAACGAGACGTAAATAAATGGAACAACCCTTGGCGTTATCAGCCGATTCGAGAGTGCTAAAAATATGGTAGACCTCTCAATTTCACATAGAATAATATCCAAGATAAAGTCTCGGTTAAGCCATTCGGTGATTCGCCAGGTGGAATAATCTCTGCGGAGATTTTTGTCGAAGCCTCGGTACGTTTAAGTAATTCATAGCCGGAGCGATTAGGATGGCTGGCGTTGGAATAATCGCGAGATTCCGCGGGTCTGGGCCTCCGTTCAATGGAATCACGTTTGCGTCGTTTGTTCGCGTCTCCTTAATGGAGATAAGATTCCAGACCGAATACACCCGCGCGGCTGTCACGGGATTTGTTGATCCGGTTATGTTTACCCGTACACAAAGCTTCATCCCCCTGGAGATTAACTCGACTTAGAGACTACTCCATCCCTAGTCTCGGTCGAGTCTGAGACGGAGTCGTCCGCCCTGAATTCGCTCTTTAATAATTGCGTGGAAAGACCTCGAGGCTTCGTTGATCGTCGTCGATCGATCGCGGGCTCGATACCATCGAGGTTTCGTTGCTCGAAGGGTTTCTTCCAGGACTTAATTAACCCCCTACGATTCGAGGGGTGGATAACGTCCGACCTTCTCGTCGCAACTTTATCGATGATAAGCGAGATAACGCGTCGACGATGGCCCCGTAGATAATGAAAGGAAAATAGAAAGATAGCTTCGGCGTAGTCGATCGCGCGGTAGCATGATTTAACCGCGCGGAGGGCGACGCGGGCGTATTAATTAAGCGGCCAACGACACGGCCGGCCGAATAATAATTCGGTTTTGCCCGGCGATGAAAACAGCTGAATAATCCAATCTCTGTATTATTCTCCGGGCGCTGCTCCGCGCGGATGGTTTGCTATTTATTTTAGAGCGCGAACTATGCCCGGACCAAAATCAACTGACCGATTAAAGCTGCTCCACCCCCCTACGTCATTTCGTCCCTCTTGTTTAGGCTCATAAAGTATATCAAAAATGGACCCTGTCGTCCCGGAAATTAATAGCAAAATTAAGGATGCTCTCGAATTTGTCAGCGGTCGCGCGGACGTCGAATAAAACACACGGCGGAACGAATTGCGCTGCGGCAACTTCCGAAATCACCGTGGAACAAATGTGGCGATACTTTGGAACGAGCGTCATAAATCATAGGGCCGATTCTCTGATAAACACGGGAACAAAAATATTCAGACGTTAGAGCACCGTACTCTCGTTAGATATTTCAATCGTTTAGGCGTACAGAAAATAATCTTTTTCGGATACTTTTGGGCTGGTTCTTCGCCGCCGTTCGTCTTCTAATCTCTTTTTAAGTTCTTTCGAATGTATTAGCGTCGTTCGTATCACGCGATTCCATTTATCCCATAAATTCTCGAAGGGATTCGACTCCGGGGACCGTGGAAGCGAGCGTGATACTTCCGGGACGATGATAGAGCAAGTACTCCTCCACGGTTCCTCGCTTTATGCTTCTGGATCGTTAAAGTTCGCGTGCATATATTTACTCGGGTGTTAAATCCTCTTTTATCTCTTGATATACCCCTAAAGTCTGAACGCGGCCTACTGACCGAATTAGTCGAGTTACTCGGCGCACGTAAATTTCACGGTTGCGGAGGGTAAATAGTTTCCGGCAGGGGTATTTTTCGGTGCTCGAACGGAAACGAATTCTTCGACAAAGGAACGAAATTGAAAGGGAATCCTTTTTAAGGGAGATCGACCGGACGATTCGACGGAAGGGAGTAGGAAGTAAATTCTTTCCGGCGAACGGAAGCGATTTAATTGTTGGACGAATCGAAAGTAACGTCGAGAGTGTTTATCGCGTTTCGAGGACTCTACTGGCAAGCTACGGTTTCCGCCCGCATAATTCGGTTTATTATGGACTTTGAATTTTATGGGAAACGCACAATGGCGGCCAGTTTGTCCATCGCCGCGTGCGATGTTTATGGAACGAAAATTGTTTGGTGAAACTTATTGGTAATTCGTTGGCGAGCGGGGAAATGTATCGTGACGGATAAATTGACAATTATTGCAAATGCGGATTGTGAAAGTTGCACGGGGGTTGCTCGTTTCCGGCGTGGAGCGAAGGGGGAATAAAATAGGAGGAAGAGGGGCTCGATGGTACGGAGACATCGAGGACGAAACGCTTTCCCTTCGACGAGAAACCATAAAAATCTCGAAACTCTCGCAAACGGGGCGAGTTTACGCGGTTTACATAGAAACTCGACCACGAAGAGGCAGAAATCGCGCGTCGACGAACTTGTTTGCGGCAATTCCGAGGACACCGGACAGAATTCGCCCCCTTCGGGAAGAATTGCCTTTGGCTCGCCGCGAGATCCAATATTTCTTTTCCTTTCGTTTGTTTCACGTACCGAATTTAACTTTTCGCAACTCGAATTTACCCTCTTCTTAAAAATTAAATTCAACGTGAATTTGTAGTTGAAATATTCCAAATTCTACTACGAAATATAGATTCACTTCTCAGCTAGAGAAACCTCGAGTAAATTGTGTAATTTTCTAGTAACAATCACTGAAACTAATGAGCGAAGAAGAGCTCGAGAGAAGGCGCCGTCCCAAAGCAGACATTTTTCTTTCCCAAGCTGACGAAGAATTTTAATTTTCCAGGTCCTCGTTAACTTCTCGGAGGAGATGGAGAACGAGGTAGACGGCTCGATTTACAGCCAGGGCAGCAGCAACAACATCTCGAACGCCTATTGCAGCAGGGACACCATTCACATGGAAACGTTTTGATCGGTCACGCGTGTGGTTCGACTGTATATCGGTCGTAACCGATCATAGATCCATATCTAATTCGAGCCGTACGCAATTTATAGATCCGTATCGCGATGGCTTCTGTGATAGCTTTATCTCCTTTTTTTTTTTTTTATTTTTTACGCCACGTTGGACGTACGGCGACGGTTTGAAACTGCCTGTCGTTTTAACGAACAAGCGCACACCCATTAATCTTACGAAGAAATAGTTTTTATGGTTATTGATTCCGCGTGGTTATCGCGATCTTACAAATTTTAAATCGCGTTATCGTCGATCGATACGTGGCGCGTATTATTCTTTTAGACTTTTTTAATTAAGCGTCGCGTATCGCGCGCAAAAGACCCCGTAGTTGTAATTTTAGGATGCGGCTGGTCGTACACAGAGGCATTCCCGATAAGAGTTCGTTTCATGGAAGATAAAGTCAGATCGTGTTGCATAAAACGAAGGAATCGGGTCAGCTATTTGAACATTTCCACGTAGTCCGATAAAACCGGAACATTTATCGACGTTCTGCTGTTTCCCTGTCTCGGGCCGACGGATGTATCGATTAATCGTAGGTACATAGGATTTAATACGTTGCTACTTAATGATAAGCAATGTTACAGCTAAGACTATACGAATAAAGTTTACCGTACAATTAGGAACGCCGCAAGATTTCTGGGATCAGAATTCCTCGTTAAAAACATCGCGCTTCGATACAGGCCAGGAATGCAATAATCTGGTAATTTATTTTTCAGGCACGAAGCTGCGAAGGCTCCATTTTTAAAAACCTTTGCATTATTTTAGAGAAGCTTTGGAACGCTGTATCTTCGGTTCTGGTTAGAAAATAACAAGGATCGAGACTTTGGTGATCCATCGTTCCGAGCGCCGGTCACTGGTGACCGCGTTAAAATTCATAACCGGTGAAACGCAGGTGCGACATCGAAACTAACGTCGTTCGATTGCTCGTGTTTATCGATTCGACCGGTTGAATCCGGTGCATGCGAGAAACGTTTCCCCGTCGGTCGCCAGGCAAAATTCTCCGTTGCAGATACGCCATGATTACGCATCCTTATCGACGTGATTCATCCAGGCATAGATACCCGGCGACCAGGCACGGTCGCTGTCATGAAACCGTGCGAAAATCGAGCACAGAAACCGGACCTGCAAATTCATCGCGACAGAACGCGTTTATGATATGTTAATGATCAATGTCGATTGACAATCACAAACGACGCGCCTCGTCGACGAGATAGTTAGCGCGCGAACTCGTCGCGTCAATCATCCACCTTCGTCGATACGTTCGCGTGAAATCTGGCAAAATTTCTGCAAAAGCGTAGACACATCTGTTCTCAAAATTGACAAAATTTCGACGATGATATGGATACCGTAAACAGCAATTTCTAAGACCCTCGAGAAAGCTTAGGATTACGTTGAAAAATACACGCGATTTAAAACTAAAAATGTCACGTTCTCGAGCGACCCTCGTGTTAGAAAGCGAACGAGCGTCATCGTTGCCTCGAGGGGTGTAAAAATGCCTAACCCCGCGATCGAGAAACGTCTGGGATAGCGTTTCTTGTCGAAGATTTGCCCGACGATCCGATTCGAGCACGCTAGACAAGATTTCCGTGGTGGTCAGCGAAACCTCGTAAAGAGAAACGGAAGCGTTTCGATGTATTTCGCGATTTCGACTGGGAAGTATGATTCCTCGATCAAGAGGGAGAGAACGTTGAAACGAAACGATAAAGACGGGCAGTTAGCAGCCGATACTTCTTGCGAGAGGGGGTTCGGCGGCGAGATATCGGTGGCTAATTAGGGACGAAGCAGATCGAATCGATGACCGAACATTCGTTTAAATTTCTTCCATCGACGGGGCCGAATTGTCGGCGGCTTTAATTCCCCGATATCGTCGTGTTTGCTGGCGCACCTGAATCGTAATCGTTTCTGGAATAGACGCAAAAACAGACGGTAAATTGTTCGGCTGCGCCTCGTCTCGGTCGTATTTCATGCGTTCGTTGCACTAGCTGTCCCAAAATTCGGCTGGCTCAAATTGAAATTCGACGCGATACGAACCGATATCTCTCGAAAGAGAAAACTCGTAATAAATGTGGATATTCGCACTCCGATGGACGAAACTTTCCGACCTTATTTTTCGATATTTTGTAACAAAATTTATATTACGAAACGAACGGCTTATTGTACGACAGTCCGCGGAGTGTGTGAATGATCCGCTCAAAGTCTAGACCTTAATCCGATAAGAAACGTCTGAGCATGTTTGAGGATGAAATTGTGAAACGAGTGGAAAGGTATAGAGAGCCGGGATTACGTCAGAATATTGCGAAAATTTAGTATTAAGTATCCCGAAGCGTGCTCGAGCCGCCATGGAAGTCAAAGACTCGCCAAATATTGAGTCTGAGAGAGCTTAACGGTTTATTGAAAATTGCAGCTTAAAATCGACCGCGAAGGAACCTCGTGTCAAGCAAAATAACAGCGTTCCAAAGTGTAACAGAATTTTTTCGCTTAGTTCGGAATTCCACGTACACACATACGTGTTTAGATTTGTGTTTACGTCCGGTATCCCGAAGCTTTTTATCTAATGGAATACTTTCGGGATCCTGTACGTCCGCCATACTGAAACGGTTCGATCTCTCGCGATACTGCAGGTCTCGTCCGATTTGCTATTAATCGAATAGTCGTCAAGATCCTCTGGACGTTACAGTCGAACGGAACAGCTACTTAGAGCCACGGTTGGAATTAGCGAGCATGTTAAGAAGCACTCGCAGCGGATTGGCTACGTGACAGGACTTTTCTGCCGGACCGAGGGCGAAAGAACAGGAAAACGGGGGATTAAGTCCCGTCGATTTCAATCGATACAGAGACACATTATTACCTCCTCCGGGAGCTGCTTTGCAAGAAGAATGGAGAATTAGACGGGGGTTGACCCAGATTTAATCTCCCGAGGAAGCGCTAAGCGGAATTTTACGCGACGGTCGGGATTTAAATCGCAAACGAGCTACGATTTATCGACACCCCCCTTCGCGCGGTCCGAATTTTTATTTTCCCGAATCGACAAACCAAATACTCGCGTTCGAAAACGTATGAAAATTCTTTGCTGATATTCGCGAATATTTTAAGCATACCGAGGAAACGTAATTTGCAAGCGCATCGCGAAGAACAATCTCCGCCATCTTTGAGTCGATCCGTCGGTCCCTGGTGGAAGGGAATGAAACGAAAAGTAATTTCTGTACCGAGTGCAGTATAATAGTGGTGCATTTCCGGGCGTGATAATTAAATTTGAATTGCGTGCGTCGCTATTGGCGGAGCAACGATCGTCCCGTTAAATAACGCGTTGCGCAACGTTATTATGCATTATGGACGACCGTTATTAATATTTCAATGAACTGATAATTCCCGAGATTGCACGGCGATCGAAAATAAAACGTTTCGCGCGAACGTTTCCGTTCTAATCAGGCCCTGTAATAATGAATTGCTTAATTTCGTCGTGTATCGATCCGACCGTTATCGCCGTACAGAATCGCAGAATTTCGGTACACCGTCGTCGTCGGATCGCCATTATTATTAAGCTACTTAAACCCCATTGTTGTCTCGCGGAGCAACGGAGGATGCTCGAAGCGAATAACGCCCAAGGACTTCCGGAATTATATTTTTATCGTAATTCGGCGATAAAGGAATCCTCGACTATGCTCCGATAAAACTGTTATCCCTCGATCTTTCGACTCCGTCGGGCCCTAATGGCTCCTCAGTTTCCAACTAGTTCGCGGAATAGACAAATTATCCGCGCTCTTAACGACGACAGACAGAATGATCGATCGATGATCGGTGTCGCTTGACTACGCCTCGTAACGATATCAATTTGCCATCAATTTGCATGCAATCGAACCAAGGCGTATTGGTTAAGGCGCCGCGGAGACGCGTCGCGCCGGGAAACTTGGAAACTTGGAATAAGACGCCGCGAACGAATCGTCTTTTAACAGAATTTCATCTCAAAATGGTTATTTATCGATACGGTTTCGTGAAGGCAATCTTCTTGCACGGTCGAAATAAACCGCAACAATCGTTGGACACAGAAGACCGCGACGGCCATCTTCCTCGGACGCAAGAAGCGAACTGCAGCCGTTGCTTAAATTTTCGAGATCCTAAAGCGACTTGGAGAAGCATTCTTGAAGCGCGATCACGTTGAAACGAGCTGCATATACCTTGAAGGCCGTCTCGATCGTTTAACACCGATTCCGTTTAACCCTCGAGCAGCATCGGTGCCCCCGATCGATCAATTGGAGTCTTTCGCTGTCTAAAATGGAACGGAATAATCGAACAATTTAACCCAATGAGTGGACGACACCTACTAGCAAACCGCTTCACCTTTCGCGCCGAATCTATCATTCTTCCGACGCGATAGATCGTTTATCCGATCTACGAGCTCTGTTTGCGCGCGTTCGAGTAGCATTTGGATCGGAAAAGGTCTAAATTCGAATCCCATCGCCGGGAATGGCGTATTCGATGCAACTATGGAGGCGGGACAGCAGGTGGTTTCACGAGGAGACACGAGGACCGTTCCGTTGAATGCTGATGCTCCGTCAACGTTCCTCGAGAACCACCGTCGAAGGGTATCTTCGTCCGGCGAGAGTAAGTCGGATCGAGTCGAGAGGGTTAATCTACGAAGGGTCGTTCCGATGCTCGAGGTATCGCGCGATCTCGAGACATCGACCAACAAGATCATCCACCCTCTCTGCTCGATGGCCTCTCGTTTCGACCAGGGATCCGTCGACGCCGGGAAACGCGTTGCATTTCGACGGTCGCGTGGGACCTGTCGGTGTAATTTTCGTAAAAAAATGCTGACACGCGCCACGGGACACGAGAGATCGGTTGCACGTCGCTCGCGGTGGTTTATCGATTCTTCCGTCATCGTTCGATGGTTAACCGCCGTTCACCGTTCCGAAAATCAGCACGAAACGGCCGGGTAAACAACGATGTTGATTCCCCGGTTATTTACTTTCGCGGTCCGGTTTGTAACGTAGATTTTTGCGGAAAGAATGCTCGGTGAAAAACAGGAAATTCGAGTGTTTCATATTCGTCCAGAAGAGGGTAGGTTTCTGGATGACCATGGCGACTGTCGTCTCGTCCATCGACGTAGATGGAGCCGGGGGACAACCTTTCGCCCCTGTAACTCGTTGTTATCAGATAACTCGGTAGATTGGCCGAAGCGGCACGGTGCAAATCGATTTATCTCGCGAACGCGACACTCGCAACACGGTCCACGCTGACGGGTCGATTATAAATGAGAGTACGAAGCAGCCCCCGGGTTTTATTTACTGCTGCCCCAATGAACAGCTTTCCATGGAGCTTCGACCGTCAGGGCCAGACCAGTTTGCGAAGACGACGTTTCCCCGTTCGATTTATCCTCGTTCTTGATCTTTCGTCCACGAGCAAGGTCAGCCACCCAGCAATTAAGACCAATTTTATCTGGCTTCAACCCTCGGAGAAGAGATCGTCGAGGAAAATTATGGCGCGCGGGAATCGCTGGTTTGCGCGAATAATTCATACGGAACGAAACGAGAATAAACGTGGCGTCTCGTGTTACAGGCGCAGGGGGTGGGCAACGACGACCACCATTACTATCGGAAATTGAAACGGGTCGAATTTATTCGGCCACCCTCGCCTCGCCACTCGTACGTTCTCGTTTAACTTTTCGACCTTCTCTCCGGTGGTATGAAAATATTATCCTCGTTTTCGGGAACCCTCGAACGAGACCACGACGCTCGTTTCCGGGCCCCTAATTATCGAGAAACATTTCGGGGATGTTACATAAAATCGTCGGAATCACAAAGCACAGATTGAACGAAGATAATTCCGTGTAAACGGCGGGAGATTTGTCGGTTGGCCTATTTTCAATTACCAAAATCTCGGTGCCTTCGCGGCGAAGCGTTCGATCTTTCGCCGATGCGCGCTCCGTCCTGGAGGTCCCTAGATCTCGCGGGGATCTTCCCTCCGGCGCTCGGGTAATTTGCATACGATTAATCTTGATCAGCGTGCCACCCTCCGAGGCTCGTCTTCGTCGGCGCACCGACGGGAACCAGGTTAAACGGCGAATATCTACCAGACCCATGATGGATCGTTACGTCTGCGTATTCAGGTTACCGCAGGACGAGTTCACCTGAATCGATCTGATCAGAGATATATCCTACGGTTTCAGGAAGCAAGACGTAGCCGTCGAACGGAGAATGGCTTCCACCGAGAGACGATCTATTTAAAATTCGTCAAATGTCCCATCCAGATTGTCTTTAACGTTTCAATCCAAATCAGCGTTCATTTCCAAATGACTGACGTTTCCCATCGATCGTTGCGAAACGGTTGACGGATCGAGATTTTCGCGCGTTTCTGGCAAAGAACCGGCGACCGAAATTAGACGCGGTTGAAAACATGGACGGGCCGAAAGCGGATCGAGCCGGTTCGCGGATATTCCCCCGGAAACCGCGAGATCGGATTTTTCGCGTAAGGGAACCGAATTCTGCCAAGTCACGCCCAACCGTCGAACGATCGCGCGATTAAAATTAATCGTTCATTATATCAGGGACGGTCGGTAAACAGTGGCCGAGATTGAATTAGACGCCGGCGATCTATTCCTGAGTGGTGTGATGGATCGTTGTGCCTACGCGTTGAGCTTACCTCGGGACACATTCGGCGGATTGATCTAATTAGACAGTCCTCCCCATCAGCCGGTGCAAGGACGTAGCATGGAAACTGATTGAATTGCTCTCCGCGGCTTTCTGCGGAAACCGACGATGGTGCACAATATTCGATCAGACGCGATGCCCCGCTACGAAGGCGTGTTCTAATCAAGCAAAGCGGTTTACGCATACACGCTTTGATCGTTAATATCTCGACGTATGTATAAGCGTTGATCAGAGTAACCCGAGTTCTCCAAGTTCATCTCGCGTGGATTTTGCCAATATGGCGCGTCTTAAAATTCTACGACCCCTCTGATTCGTGACGCTTCCGACGCAATTTTGTTCGAGTAATAAATAAAATTACGTCGAGCAGACAGCGTCGCTATTATTTCCTATCAACGCGAACGTAATCGATCCATTAATTCGGCAACGGTTCAAACTCCGCGCCGTTTACGCGAAAAGTTAAGACCCCACGCGGTTTGCACGGTGTACGCGTTTCATTTATCATGCGGAACTAAGCGCGTTTAACTTGATTTTCTGTAAATTGGCTCCTGGAATGGAATTAAAGTTAGTAAATCACCCGGAGGGTTTCCCCGACGGGGGCGATACGATCGAATCGCGAAAAACGAACGCGGGCGTCTCGAATTCGCGAGATAATCGCGACTATCGATCCCTGGTTCGAGAGTTCACGCTTCAACTGTCTTCGAATCTTAACAGAATTAATTCTCGAACTTGGACCTTCCCGCGCTTGCCAGCAGAGGGCTCCACCCATACCTCTCTCGCAAGTGCTCATTTCAACAGAAAGTAAAAATTAATTACCACGAGAAATGACCGTGATTCGCGTAGTGTTCGGTGGGAATCGGCCATTAGGCGCGCGCGAGTCTTATTTTCATCGTTCGGGCCCCGCGATATCGTTATCAGGGAACAACTCTCGCGGCACCTCAGTCCGCGGAACGTCCGCGAATTTGCAGTAGGCGTTGGAACAGGGAATCCGCAGAATCTCGATAACCGAATACTCCGCGAACTCGAGCAATTATCCGTTCGAGAGCACGTTATCGCGTGGTCCGATAAACTTCAGCGAAATGTGTGTCGCGTAAGTGGGTTAAGTGGTACGGTCGAGAGTCGGCGAACGAAGAGGAGAAGGCAAAAGTGTCCTGGTAACCGTCGTGGACGTGACTTATTCAAAAGGTTACCGCATCGTTTCCACGGTCCTGGACGAGTGAATAACCGTAACAACGGATAAATTACCGGCGCGTTGCAAAATGCACGAAACGACGCGCGTATTCTCGTTCCGTCGTGCTTCGCGTCTTTCGGCGACGTTGAATATTTCATCGCGATAACAGCGCGCGGATCGACGATTCTTTTTTTTTCGGCTTCCACCATTTTCTTTTTTTCTTTTTTTCGTTCGCGTTATCTGAAATCGTCGATTTCGCCAACCGCGGGGCTTCGAATTTCGAACGACGATCGACGATCCCCGGAGGCGCGTCGTTCGAACGAAGGTCGTCGCGCGCCTAATCGGAATTGGACGACATTGTGCCGCGGAAACAGGCACGAAGCCGCGATTTTCGCCAAGTTCCATCGTCGACGATCGGGGAAAACAAAGCAGCCGTTGCGTAAGCAGCGGACGAAGTTGCAAGGGACTTTTACGTAAGTATCGTTTCCAAGAGTCTGTCGAGGCTACGTAAACGCTCGTTGCAAAATGCTTGTTAATTCCGTGCCGCGGCGCCGGAAGGTTAATAGCGATTTAATCGTAGCGTTTTCTGCAAACTTAACGCGATCACGGTTTCCGGAAACGCTCGAAATGCTCGACTGTCTCGTGTAATTTGACTCCGATGGCTTCTTTGTAAATTACACTGTCGTTGGGCCACGGAGTCATTGCGCAAACGGAAATAAATCGAGCAA